AGCACCTCCAGGTGGCTAACTTCAGCCCTGAAATGTTCTCCTAGTTTGGCTTCCTTTTTCTTTTCTTTCTTTCGTTGGTCATGGGCTTGAATTTGGCCTGGGTGCAGTTCCTGAGCTCTTTAGCTCAAGGCAAGCGCTCTACCACTTGAGCCAGTGCCACTTTTGGTTTTCTGGTGGTTAATTGGAGATCAGAGTCTCACAGACTTTCTTGCCCAGGCTGGCTTTGAACCGCAATCCTCAGATCTCAGCCTCCTGAATAGCTAGGATTATAGGCGTGAGCCACCCATGCCCCACTGGGGACTAGAATTTTCTAACTCTACATTCTCCCTAACCTATCCCCTTTAGTTGCTTCAATGATGACTTATGAGCTAGTAATCTCCTGCTCATGCACCTGATATCAACCCAGCCCTTCATATCCAACTTGATCAAACTCAAGCTCTGGTCTTACCTCACTTTCCAACTGTCACTTATATTTTACTTGTAAGTCAATAAATGTATTCATTGTGTTGCTTAAGTTATTCCACAACAGCTCTTAAATACTTGTACACCTCTCAGCCTCTACCACCCTAGTCTAGCAGGTCTAGACCAGGCCACCAAAGATCATAACAGGATTAACAGCCTTTTAACAAGTCTGTTTTATCTACTGTAAGCTCCTTCAATTCATGTTCCAAAAGTTCTTTTAAATTTGAAATCTGATTAACTTATTAACCTGTTTAAAACCTTTTTGGGGGTGGGGTAGGAAAGGCAGTGGCATGGCTCAAGTGCCTGCCTAAAATTTTTTGTTCTAGTCTTTAAAATTTTTTTAAAATAATTAATGAATTTTTGAGGTGGGGGTCTTGTTTTGCTACACAAGCTGGCTCAAGTTTCTGGTATCAAGCAATCTTTCTGCCTCAATCTCCTAAAGTAACTGGGACCACAGCTATGTGCCAGTGTACGTAGCTTTAAAGTTTCTTAAGCTGTAGCTTTAAAATTTCTTAAGCCTGGTGCCTATAATCCTAGCTACTCAAGAGGCTGAGATCTGAGGATTGAGATCAAAGCCGGGCCGGGCAGGAAAGTCCATGAGACTCTTATCTCCAACAAACTACTAGAAAACTGGAAGTGGCCCTGTAGCTCAAGCGGTAGAGTGCTCACCTTGAACTGAAGAGTGCAGGGACAGCACCCAAGCCCAGAGTTCAAGCCCCATGACCGACCAAGCAAAAAAAAAAAAAAAAAAAACAACTAAAATTTCTTAAAACTCTCTTTGCTCTAAGACAATATGGAAAAATTCTAATTGTCTAGTGTGTCCCTAATAAGTTTTTAATGTTTCTTTAAGTGATAAGTTTAGGGAGACTATTAAAAATCATGACAGACAAAAACTTTTTGCTGGTTTGAATCATCTAGCAGCAGAATTTGCTAAAACCCAGTGCCCCTAGCCTACTGGCAATAAGTTGAATTCTCCAGAAAGCCTGACTTCCTGGATATTTAAATGGCTCTCACCAACCAAAGAAAGATAATATCACTTATTCTCTAAAATCTGAGTAAGTCAATTCCATATACTTTGCATATCCTATGTCCCCAATACATATTATTTTATGGAAAAAGGCTAGGATTAAAGGATATGGCTAAGAGGAAGCAAGCAAAAATCTCCAACTAAGATAAAATTATTAGTGGAATGCCTATCAATTAATAAACAGATAAGCACACAATGTGGTATATCGATACAGTAGAATAATACTCACAAAAAAGGCATGAAGCTGGGCACAGGTGGCTTACGCCTATAATCCTAGCTACTAAGAGGCTGAAATCTGAGGATTGCGGGTTTGAAGACAGCACAGGCAGAAAAGTCTCCGTGAGATTCTTATCTCTAATTAACCACTCAAAAAACTGCTAGCCTTGAGCACAAAGAGGCTCATGGACAGTGTCTAGGCATTGAGTTTAAGTCCCACAGCTGACCCCCCCCCCCTAAAAAAAGGAATGAGGGTGGGTGGGTGCCAGTGGCTCAAGTCTGAGACTTAGATCTAGGGATCTAGGTTCCTAGCCTGGCAGGAAAGGCTCTTATCTCCAACTATAGAAAACTGGAAATCAAGCTGTGGCTCAAGTGCTAGAGCAGTAACCTTAAACACAAAAGCTCAGGGACAGCGTCCAAGCCCAGAGTTCAAGCCCCAGGACTAGCAAAAAAAAAAAAAAAAAAAAAAGGAATGAGGGAGCCAGGCACTGGTGGCTTATACCTGTAATCCTAGCTACTCAGGTGGCTAAGATATGAGAATCTTGGTTTGAAGCTTGTCTAGGCAAAGATGTTCTCCTGGGCAGGAAAGTCTATGAGATTCTTACCCCAATTAACCACAAAAATGGTGGAAATGGAGCTGTGGTTCAAGTAGTAAAGTGCTAGCCTTGAACAAAAAAGCTCAGGAACAGTGCTAAGGCCTGGAGTTCAAGCACGTGTGTGCTCTTGTGTGCATTCATATTCACTAAACAATTGGAATGAGAAAGGTAGATTGCAAATCTATGTGTATGTCTGTGTGTGTTTCATTTTCTTAGATAAGATTTGCCAAGGTTTGTTTGTTCTTGGAAGGGGCAAGAAAATTTGTTTTAGCTAAAGAAAGGACCAGAGCTGGGTGTGGCGGCTGACATCTGTGATTCCAGGGTTTCAGAAGCTAAATTGTGAGAATCTCAAATTCAAGGCCAGCATGAGCTAAACAGTTGTTTAAAACAACAAAACAACAAAACAAAAACAAAATGTGGCTTTCTTGTTTTGTCACCATCCAAGTTTCAGACTTTGTAAAGGTCTGAGCACTGCCTGCTCTTGTTCTTTGTCTTCAAGATGCTTTTTTGGGGTATCTGGGTTTATTTACTTCTCTCCCAATCCTCTTCTACATACCAGGGCCTAATCCCTTTCCCATAAGGAAGGTGGTTTCCTAGAAGAGAAGACTGGAGGTCAGAATAGGCCAGTGGAGAAGGAAGAGGAATGAGGAGATCTAAGGAAAAGAGAAAAATAGAGGGGAGGAGAGTAAGGAGCTGCAAGGGAATAGTGGGAAGGGGATGGGAACTAGAAGAGGAGGACAGACAGGAGAGTGGAGAGACTAGCAGGAAAAAGAAAGCAGAATAAAGGGAGAGGGGAGGGAGAGGATAAATAATAAAAAAAAGGAAATTCTGATAGCTAGATCATGAATGAACCTTGAAAATATTATACTAAGCAGTCAGAAGCAAACAGCCACATATTATGTGATTTAAGCTGCATAAAATGTTTGAATAGCAAATACAAAGGGACAAAAAATAGATTAGTATTTCTTTAGGAGTTGTGGGAGAGTCAATGGGTTGTGAATGTTAATGATACAAGTTTTTCTAGAAGGAATGAAGATGTTCTGGAATTAGATAGGGACTATGGGTGCCCAATCTTGTGGATATATGAAAAACCACTGAATTGTACACTTTAAAAGGGCAGGTTTTGCTGGGTGCGATGACTCAAACCTGTAATACTAGCTACTTGGGAAGTAGGATCAAGGTTTGAGGCCAACCACATAGAAAAAGTTGTTCTTGAGACTCCATGCCAACCAATAGATGGGAGCAATTAATGAGGATGCTTTAAGTAGAAAGATTACAGCCCAGGCTGGCCTGGCAACAAAGCTAGACCCTATGTAAATAACCAAGACCAAAAGGGGCTGGAGGCAGAGCTCCAGTGGCAAAGTAGCAAGCCTGCCTAGCAAATGTGAAGTCCTGAATTCAATCCCCAAAACTGCAAAAAAAATTAAGCTTGGAGTGGTAAAGTGATGGTAATAAGTTTAATGGAGGAAGAGAAAAAAAAAAAAAAGGTAGAGCCGGGGAGGAGAGAGCTCTAGTGGCATGAAGTGCTTTAAAATGTTAAAGGCCTCTCTCAGGTTTGAAGGCGATATATCAAAAGATCTGCTCATTCTTGGTAGGGGTGGGGGATAGGGGCTCTGGAGATTGAACTCAGGGCCTCATTTGTGCTCTCTACGGAACGGGAGCTACATCACACATCTAAATTAGCCTTCTCTCTGAACCACAATATTCTTCCTCTCTCACCCTCCCTCCCCGCCGGTTCCAAACAGCACTCTCCTCTCTGTCTGTTAATGCGCTTCCTCCATTCCTTCTCTGGCTCACAACAATAGGCAACGATAGGATGCCGAGAAGGTTGGATTAGCATCCTTCGGGCGCAATTTAGAGGTCATTTCCTTATAGGAAGTTTTCTTTCCTCTTATTTCCTTTCAATGTTGCACGTGTAAGAACTTGCAGCACTAGCTTCAACAGTAATGGTTTGGGCTGTGGGTCATTTTATATGTCAGATCCCCTTCAAACGAGCTCTGGGAGGGCAGGGCCCAGACTCATTCCCAGCGTCTTGCACCGCGCTTGGCACATAATAGGGCGAGTGAGGTGGAAGTCCGCGATCCAAAGCCTGTTCCAAGGTAAGTGCACAGGTGAACAGAGCTCGCGGTGATTTCTGGGGCACCCAGGGTATGGTTGCTTGATTGACCTGCTGATCCATCAGGAGTAAGGTCTGGAGGTTCTGGGAGCTGCCCTGGAGTCGAGTCCCGATCCCGCGTACTTAGGACCGAATAGTGGGGCTCAACCCAATCCCCAACGGCGCATCCCACCCCTGAGGCCTACCTGCAGGTTCCGGGTGATAAGGTGCAGCTTCTCTTCAGGACTGGGAGATTCTCCCATTGCTTCGCCACCCGTGACTTCCGAGCTGAGCCGGCACCCGCGCCCCTTCTTGGGTCGCCGCCGCCGCCGCCGCGTGCCGGGAGCTGTCTCGCGAGTCCCGCCAGGTTGCATCAGCTGAGTTCGTCGTTCGGCCAGCTCGGCCTAGCTCTCTCTACCTAGCCGGGAGGCAAGAATAGAGGACAGTCGAGCGGGTCGATGGGAGGAATGGGTGGAGCCATTAGGCAAAGGGGGCGGTGCGGAGGGCGGGGCTGTATGCCTGCCTGAAGCTCCACCCTCTCAGAGGTGTGGCGGTTTCTTGCCAATCATGTCTAATTTTCCCGCCCCTTGGCGTTGGCCCGGCTGTTCCGGGTTGGGGGAGGTCGAGGAGGGGGCGACAAAATGGCGCAGGGGGCGGAGTGAGGCGCAGTCGCTCGCCCAGGCTTTGGCCCAGCTTCCGGAGGTGAAGAGCGAGAGGGTTGAGGGATCGGCGTTTGCCGATGGGCGGGGGTCTGGGGGAGCCTGTTGCTTCTCTAGGGGTGCCCCGTTAAGGGATGGGGAGGCCCTGAGCCCGCTGGGAGGAGGGCCGGCCCTCGTTCCTGAGGCGCTGGCGGGGCAATATCCCTGCCCCCCCTCCCCACGCTGGAGGGCCACGACTCCCCTCGCCTGAGGTGAAGGGGGGCGGTGGGGCCGTGCGAGCGGCGAGGAGCGGCGTCCGCGTCCCCGCTTGGTGTGGAGGGGACGGTGGCCGCGTCGGGGGGCGGGGGCCGCGGACCGGCGTCGCGAGGCCGAGACCCCCGCGCGCGTCCCGGGGCGCCGGGCGGGCGGCGGCGGCAGGCCGGGGTCCGCCGAGGCGCGGGGGTGCGGCGCGGGCCGAAGCTGCCCCGCCGGGGGGGAGGGGCGGGGAGAAAGCCCGCGCTTCTCCCACTTTCCACGGGGAGGCGGGGACTCTCCGTCTCCGGGGGTGGGGGCAGGCGCGGAGACCCCGGTGGAGAGCGGCGCCGCCTGGCGACCGCTGTGTTTCTTTAAAAAAAAAAAAGCCGGTTTTGTGGGGTGGAGGGTCTAGCCCATCTGTTCCCAAGATCTGTTAAGGGCTGCCCACGGTCCCCCGACCCCGTCTCCAGGTTTTGTTTTTGTGCCTGCTTTTGTGCGTGCATGTGTGCGCGCGCGCGCAGGTCCTAGGGCTCGAACGCGCTGTGCCCTAATTTTGTTTTTTGTTCCCCCCCCCCCCCCAAGACTAGTACCACTGGAGCCACAGCTCCACTACGGGCCTTTGGCTGGTCAATTGGAGATAAGACTTTCATGGACTTTCCTGCCTGGGCTGGGTTCGAACCATGGGTCCTCAGAACTCAGCCTCCTGAGTTAAGATTGCAGGTGTGAGCCACCAATGCCTCCGTGCCTGGGCCTCCAGGTGTTTTTGTTTTGTTGTGCGCATGTATTGGTTAGGCGTTCCGAACCTTAGCAGACCCGTCTAATTTTTTTTTCTTTTATCTTTTAAAAGAGAAACCTGTTGCTGCAGCCTAATAATATCTACTCTCTTATGCTCATGTGGGAAGAGAGTCTTGGCAACCTAACCTAAGTGAAATGTTACCTCAAGCAGTGATTTCCAGCCTTGGGTTGTTTTGTTGGCCAGCAGTGTTTCCAGTTATCTCAGAGGGAGTTGCAGAATTCTTAAAGATAATTTCAGTTCACTGTGGTGTTTTTTTTTTTTTTTATTTTAATGTTAGGCCTGCTCGTGAGTAATAACAAAGCCTTTTGTGCTGTGTGGTTCACATTTAGGGAAAATTGGAAATAAAAGGCCAATATGGAGTTCTGTCCTTTTGTAAATAATCCTTGCTATTGGCTATTTCTGTTAAACCCTATTTTGGATTTAAGAGTCTTGAAAGAGGGTGTTGTAGGGTATGTGTGTAGAGTTGGAGTTTTAGTGGCCTGAATAAAATAAGGCTTTGTGTTCGAAGGCAATAGGTTTTCTGAGGTAAGGTAAAAATAGATAGGGAACCAGTTTCTGAGGTTGCAACCAGGAGGTTAGAGAACAGAGAGAGAGGGGGTGGTACACTGAAGTGTGAAGAAGGGGGTGGACAGGTAGAGATGTGGAAGGACAGAATAGGGTCACACAGGGATGGGAAATAGAAGAATTTGGAGATGGGAAAATTATTCTTCCTAAAGACAAAGGGGTCCTCATATTTTAGTGAGGGTTGCCAGGTAAGTGCCAAGAAAGGCATGTGATCATAGAAGGGCAGAAGAGTAACTAGGTTGTCTTGTGCCACTTCACTTAAGAGCTTCAGTTTTACTTGAGGGTTTTCTTCTCTTCAAATTCATTAAATATCAGCTTTTTTTTTTTTCTTGTCCTGGAGCTAGAATTTAGGGCCTAGGTGCTGTCTCTGACCCTCTTTGTGCTCAGGGCTAGCACTTTACTACTTGAGCCACTGTGCCACTTCTGGCTTTTTCTGAGTAGTTTATTGGACACAGACTTTTCTGCCCAGGCTGGTTTTGAACTGTGATCCTCAGATCTCAACCTCCTGAGTAGCTAGGATTACAGGTGTAAGCCACCAGCACCTGGCAAATGTCTACTTTTATTAGCATAGAATTTTTAAAAGCAGTTCAAAGCCAGCCTGAGGAGGAAAATCTGTAAGACTCTTATCTCAAACCACCAGAAAACTGGAAGTGCTGCTGTGGCTCAAGTGATAGACTGCTAGTCTTGGGCTGAAGAGCTGAGGGACAGCGCCCAGGCTCAGAGTTCAAGCCCCACACTGACAAAAGAAAGAAAAAATTGAAGTTTAGGGCTGGGAAATGTGGCTTAGTGATAGAATGCTTGTCTAGCATGCATGAAGCCCTGGGTTTGATTCCTTAGAACCACATAAACAGAAAAAGGAGGAAGTGGCATTGTGGCTTAAGTGGTAGTGTTAGCCTTGAGCAAAAGAAACTGAGGGACAGTGACCAGGCCCTGAGTTCAAGCCCCAGAACTGTCAAAAAAAAAAAAGGTTTAAATTGCTTTGATCCATATCACTCAGTTGATCCTCACTTAATACAATTAGTAGTGAATATTTATCTGCCTTTTTCCAGGTGAAAGCATCACTATTGAGATTTAGAGACAAGTGAAAGCAGGTGTGGTGGCTCATACCTGTAAAATCCCAAACACTACACAAGGAGGTAGAGACGGGAAGATTGAGAGTTTGAGGCCATCCTGGGCTATAGAGAGAGACCCAGGTAGGTAGGTAGGTATATAGATAGATTTAAAAAAACAAAACAAAAACAAAAAAACACTTCAAGTGGCTTGCCAAGGTCTGAATTTAAAAAAAAGAGCCAAGCCGGGCACCGGTAGCTCACGCCTATAATCCTAGCTACTCAGGAGGCTGAGATCTGAGGATCATGGTTCAAAGCCAGCCTGGGCAGGAAATTCCGTGAAACTCTTATCTCCAATAAACCAGTAGAAAACTGGAAGTGGCATTGTAGCTCAGTGGTAGAGCGCTACCCTTGAGCTGAAGAGCTGAGGGACAGCATTCAGGCCAAGAGTTCAAGCCCCACGACTGACAAAAATAAAAAAAAGAGCCAGGCACTAGAAAAAGCTCAGGGACGGTGCCCAGGCTTTGAGTTCAGACCCCAGGACTGGTACATGTGTGCATGCGCGCGCGTACGTGCGCACACACACAGACACACATGCAAAACATGCAAAATCAAGAGGAAGTAATACAGTATTGAATATAATTATACTTACCAGTTTTATCTTTCATTACCATATTATTTCAGGTCTTGTTTTTTTTTGTGTTTTTGCTGTAATGGGCCTTGTGTTTATTAGACTAGTGCTTTACCATTTGAGGTATCTGCCAGTGGTGTGAACCACTAGTGCCCTGCTTTTTTTTTTTTTTTTTTTGGCCAGTTCTGGGTTTGAACTCTGCCTGGCCACTGTCCCTGAGCTTTTGTAAAGCTCAAGGCTAGTGCTCTATCCTTTGAGCTATAGCTCCACTTCCAGCTCTTTTTGTAGTTTATTGAAGATAAGGATCTTATGGGCACCGGGTGCCAGTGGCTCATGCCTGTAATCCTAGCTACTCAGGCTGAGATCTGAGAATTGAGGTTCAAAGCTAGCCCGGGCAGGAAAAGTCTGTGAGACTCTTTTATCTTCAATTAACCACCAGGAAACCGGGAGTGGTACTGTGGCTCAAGTGGTAGAACACTTACCTTGAGCCGAGGAGCTGAGGGACAGCACCCAGGCCCAGTGTTCAAGCCCCATGACACCCCCCCCCCAAGAGTTCAAGGCCCACAACACACACACACACACACACACACACACCCAGAGTTCAAGACACACACACACATACTGCTTACCTTGAGCCGAGGAGCTGAGGGACAGCACCCAGGCCCAGAGTTCAAGCCCCACGACACCCTCCCTCCCCCCCCCCCCCCCGCCCCACCAGAGTTCAAGGCCCACGACACACACACACACACACACACGCACGCACGCACGCACGCACGCACACACACACACACACCATGGGCTTTCCTGCTGGGCTAGCTTCAAACTGTGATCCTCAGATCTCAGCCTTCTTAGTAGTTTAGGATTACAGATGTCAGCTACTGGCACCTGGCTCCTTACTGTTTTTAAGACACAACATTCTAGATAGAAATGAAATTACCCATTCCTCCTTCCATTTCTCTTCCCTTCCTACCACTAGAAATAACCATTACTCTGAATTCAGTTTCCATGCATATTTTTTGTGTGTTGGTACTAGAGCTTGAACTCAGGTCTTCATGCCTTGCTTGGCTTTTTCATTCAAGCTAGTGGCGCTGTAGCTCAAGTGGTAGAGCACTCGCCTTGAGTTGAAGAGCTGAGGGACAACGCCCAGGCCCAGAGTTCAAGCTCCACGACCGACAAAAAAAAACAAACAAACTATATAGAGCACTCATTCAAGCTTGCCACTCTACTACTTGAGCCAGACCTCCACTATTGGCTTTAGTTAATTGGATGTAAGAATCTCACGTACTTTTTTGCCCAGGCTGGCTTTTTGAACTCTAACCCGTGGATCTCAGCCTCCGAAGTAGCTAGGATTATAGGCATGAGCCACCACTGTTCAGCTTCCATGCATCTTTTTATAACTTTAGGAAATAGGTAGTATTCATATACCTATTATTGCTTAACAAATTGAATGCAAAATGAATTTAAAAATGAAAATACCCACATGATATGTCATTTAATTATTTGGACCTTATTTGGATATTGATCTTTTTTTAAGCTTGAAGGAATATTGAGATTTATTTACTTTTGGTGCCAAGTACTGGGTCTTAAAGGGCCTCATGTCCTCTTCTTAGCTCTTTTGCTCCAGCTGATGTTTTACCACTTGAGTCACACTTCTACGTCCAGCTTTTTTGTCATCAATTAGAAGTAAGAATTTATTGGTGTTTTCCTGGGCTAGCTTTGAACCTCTATCCTCTCAGTCTCTTAAGTAGCTAAGATGACAGTTGTGAACCTTTTTTTGTGCTTGTCCTGGGGCTTGAACTTATGGGTTAGGTGTTATTCCTGAGCTTTTTCACTCAAGGCTAGCATTGTACCACTGGAGCCACAGCTGCCCTTTGGCTTTTTGTTAGTTTATTGGAGATAAGAATCTCAAAAACTGGGGCTGGGAAGGTGGCTCAGTGGTAGAGCACTTGCTTTGCATGCATGAGGTCCTGGGTTCAATTCCTCAGCACCACATAAGCAAAAAGAAAAAAAAGCTGGAAGTGGCACTGTGGCTCAAGTGGTAGAGCACTAGCCTTGAGCTGAAGAGCAGACGGACAATGCTCAGGCCCGGAGTTCAGGCCACACGACTGGACCTCCCCCCCCAAAAAAAAGAAAAAAAAAATCTCAAAAACTTTTCTGCCTGGGCAGAGAAGACCTCAGTCTCCTGAGTAGGTCGGATTACAGGTGTGTGTTACTGGTGCCCATTGTATTTTATGATAAATAATTCTCGTTTACAGATACATTGATATGATTCCTGGTATTTAAAATAATATGGTAAAGGGGGAAGTAAGTGGGGCAAAAGATTGGCTATGGATTAATAGTTTTGAGGGCTGAGTGATGGTCACAAAATTATAATTCTTCATGGAGGCCTTGGCTGTGTTTGCAAGTCAGCACTTGTTTTTCTCTTTTGTTGGTCCTGGGGCTTGAACTCAGGGCTTAGGGGTTGTCCTTGAGCTCTTTTGCTCAAGGCTAGTGCTATACCACTTTGAGCCACAGTGCCACTTCCAGTTTTCTGGTGGTTAATTGGAGATTAGAGTCTCACAGACTTTCCTACCTCAGATGGCTTTGAACAATGATCCTCAGATCTCAGCCTCTTTAGTTAGGATTACAGTCATGAGCCACCAGCACCTGGCTATTTTTATTTTTTTGGGTCTCAGCCATTCTAAACATGTCCTATACTACCAAGCTACCTTCTTCTACCCCCAATTGCTGGAGCACTGGTAAATAAATAATATTAGTGGCTGTAAACTTAAATGTATCAGAAAACTTGGTTTCTCTTTGATAAGTTCAATTTTATAGAGTTGTATTGAGTGGTTGGAGATGTAAGGTGTATCTCATCTGATTTATTGTAGTCACTTAATATTTCTTTATGCACATCACATTTCTAAGATAAGTAGGTCCTTTTTAATTGTAAGATTCTGTTATATCTCCTCTTTCTACTTCATTTTTTTTTTTTTTTTTTTTTTGGTCAGTCGTGGGGCTTGAACTCTGGGCTTGGGTGCTGTTCCTCAGCTCTTCAGCTCAAGGTGAGTGCTCTACTGCTTGAGCCACAGTGCCACATCTAGTTTTCTACTGGTTTATTGGAGATGAGAGTCTCATTGAGTTTCCTGCCCAGGCTAGCTTTGAACCATGATCCTCAGGATCTCAGCCTCCTGAGTAGCTAGGATTACAGGCGTGAGCCACCGGCACCCAGCTTTCATTTCCTTTGTACTTCATTGTCCATACCCTTTTATATTGTTTTACATTGTAGCTTTATTCTTTCCTCTAACATGATATATTCCATGAGGGATTATATATAGCTTCATTTCTTGGAAATCATATAGAGATGTCTTATAGCTCAATACTATGTAATGATTCTAGCTCAGAAAACATTTTCTGAATGTATCAGTGAACTGAAGCTAAAACTGTAGATGTGGTATGGAGAGTAGAAGAGTAGAGAAAATTTTGTAGTAAAAAAGCTTTAAGAAGCTGGGTGCCAGTGACTCATGCCTGTAATCTTCAGGAGGCTAAAATCTGAGGATCATGGTTAGAAGCTAGCCAGCTGGGATCTCAAGTTTGAGGCCAGCCTAGTCAATATAGTTAAACATCAGGAAAGTCTGTGAGATCTTTACCTCCAATTAGCCACCAGAAAATCAGAAGTGGAACTGTGACTCAAGTCGTAGAATGCTAGTCTTGAGCAAAAGAAGCTCAGGGACAGAGCTCTGACAAAATTCGTCCTTTCACCTAATTCATTTCCCTGCAGGTTATAATATTAACTGGTTTTGTGTTTATAGCTTTATAAATGTTTCCTGCTTTATATATATTGAAAAGGAGGGGTTTTGGTATTGTAATGATCAGTTTTTAGATTTTGATGGAAACTTTCAATTTCATAAATGAGGAAACAAATCAAAATGATTGACAGTGGCTGGCACATAGAGCTTGTGACAGAACCAGTACCATAGCATGCATATTTGGACTTCCAAGCCAGTATTCATCCTACTAAATAAAGCAAATGATAATCTAGAAATTGCAAGTTGTTGGAGGGAACAAAACTAGTTCCAAGTTGCATAATTTTGTTCCTCTAAAGGTTTTTCTTTGGCGTTCTTGGCTGAAGAAAAAAAAAACCCTCAACTTTCAGGTATTTAAAAAAAATCAAGATCAAAATTAATAAATGGAGCACCTTGAAGCATAATATAGTCGACTTTGTAATTAGCAGAGTTGAAAGTGATGTGAAGATCCTTTAATTTTCTTTGTGCCTGCAGGAAGGTGGGAGTCAATCATTTTGACAAGTCTTCTGAAAGGAACAGCCAGAAGGAGTTGAAACTCTCTTCCATTTGGTCTCGTGGCAAAGGCAGATATCGCTCCAACAGCTCCATAAAGTATGGAAGACATGTATCTTCTTGTATTCCTTTTTAAAAAAAATTTAAATATCTTTGTTTTTTTTCAAGTGTATACTGAATTTCTACAAATATTTTACATACCCCTACATACTTTTTTTGTTTGCATTACTATTATTTTGTGTGTACCGGTCCTGGGGCTTGAACTCAGCGCCTGGGTTCCTATGTTACAAGTTACAATGAAAGGAATTTTAAATATTGGGATAATATTTTCATATATAGTGGATTAGAGTAGGTTTAAGGCTTTTTTCTCACTCCTTGGTGAAACTTCTTATTATTTCTCCAGATATGACGTGCTCACTCGTGCCCTCTGAACAGTCTTCTGGAACCTCTTTTTTGCCTAAAGACAATGCTCCATTTTCTTGGGGTTCCTTGGATGAGGATGGATTAGATGACTCTTTGTTAGAGTTATCTGATGGAGAAGAAGATGATGGCCATTTCAGTTTCACTGAGGAAGAGATTGAAGTGCTCTTAAAGGATGATGGTGATGATGGGCATGATGAAAACAGAGGAAGAGGGAGTCAGAGTCTACGCCATAATTCCCAAGAAAAAAATTCATCGTATAGCTTGGTACCAATAGCTGAGACCTCTGGCTTCTTCAAACTACCTCAGCTAAGTACATCACTTGGTCATGGACCAAATTCTACAAAACCATTAGACAGAAACTCTGTGCTTGAAAAAAATTTCGTAAAAGTAACTGTTGCACCATTTAATCCAACAGTTTGTGATCCTGTACTTGATAAAGATAAGACTGATTCATCCAAGGATACTGAAAAATCCTCCTCCCTTGAGGAACAGATGAGAGAAGATGATGATCTTAGTCCAAATGAGAGCAAACTTCGTACTGAATCTGAAGGGAGCAACCTCAATCCCACCGTGGATGGGTCCTTGCTCTCTTCTTCAAACAATAACCTGCAACAGACTATATCTGAGAAGAATACACCTGGCAGCAAGAAATCTACTCCTGAATTGCCTCAGATCTCAGACCATTTAGAGACAGCTAATACAGGATCATCCTGGAAAAATGGATCACATAAATCAAGTTCTGAAGTGAGAAATTCAGTTTCCAGTTCTTCAAACAGAGTAAGTATGTTTTTTTCAAGGTGAAGAGAAAAATGAAATTGTTTTTTGTTTAGAAGCTGTACAGAATTCCTTTATATTGGTGTCTCTGCACATTTCCACCTACAAGAGTAATCATGTCCCACAGTGGTACTTTTGTTACAATCTAGCAACACTTTGTATTCAGATGTTAGGATTTGGACTGATCTAGTACTATTACCTGTGGCTAATTATTTAGCTTCTATGTTCCCCCAAATTTATTTTTTGTAGCCAGGCGCCGGTGGCTCATGCCTGTAATCCTAGCTATGCAGGAGGCTGAGATCTGAGGATTGCGGTTCCAAGCCAGCCTGGGCAGGAAAGTTCGTGAGACTCTTATCTCCAATAAACTACTAGAAAACTGGAAGTGGCACTGTGGCTCAAGGGGTAGAGCGCTCACCTTGAGCTGAAGAGCTCAGGGACAGCGCCCAAGCCCAGAGTTCAAGCCCGACAGCCGACCAAAAAAATATACGTATATTTTTTTGTAATGGGATTAAACCCAGGACCTTAATATATGCTAAGTTTGTGCTCTATCACTGGTTCAGTCCATCTATAAATTGAAATGAATGTTTGGCAGCATAATGACTAATGAAATAATATATCCACAGTACCTGATTCATCATAAACTATCATTTATTGGATAATTACTAAGATGATGATTTTATTTGTTGATTTTTTTGGGGGGGGAGGGGAGCGGTTCTAGCCTAAGTCTTAATCTTTAGTTACCATGCTTATTTGATATGTAGTACCAAGTCTGAGTCAATCACAAAAAAATGGGGGGAAAATCATAGGAAATTTGCCTTTTTAATTAATTAATTTATTTTTAGTTCTAGGCAAGTGGCTTATCACTGAGCAACATTCCTGACAAACTGTTTTTTTGTTGTTACAAGACAGGACTTGAACTCAATACCTGACACTTTACTCTTTGGATGATGTTCTATCAACTGAGCCCAGTACCTCCAACTCCACCCAATATTTTTTTTTTTTTTTTTGGTCAGTCCTGGGGCTTGAACTAAGGGCCTGGGCACTGTCCCTGAGCTTTTTCATTGTCTACCACTTGGAGCCACAGAACCACTTCTAGTTTTCTGGTTATTAATTGGAGATAAGAGTAATGGACTTTCCTGCCTGGCTTGGCTTTGAACTGCGATCCTTAAAGCTCAGACTCCTGAGTAGCTAGGTTTACAGGTGTAAGCTATGGCGCCCAGCTCAAACTGTTTTTGAGCCATCCCTACCTGCTAAATAAGTGTAAAATAATTTCTAGTTTAAAGTCTTCTCCCTCCCTCCCTCCCTCCCTCCCTCTCTTTCTCTCTCTCTTTCTTTCTCTCTCTTTTTCTCGAGTGCTCACTTTCCTTCCTTCCTTCCCTCCCTCCCTTCCTTCCTTCCTCTCTTCCTCTCTTTCTTTCTTTCTCTGTGTGTTTGCACATGCCCAGGCAACTCCTGGGGCTTGAACTCAAGGCTGGGTACTGTCCCTTGAGCTCTCTGCCACTACAGCTCCAGCTCCATATCTAGCATTTTGGTGGTTAATTGGAAATAAGAGACTTTTTCTTGTCAGGACTGGCTTCAAACCATGATCCTCAGAGCTAGTCCTCCTGAGTAGCTAGGATTCTAGGTGTGAGCTGGCACCTTCCATCCATCCATCCAACCACTCTTCCATCTGTCCATCTATCTTCCTTTTTCCTCCCCTCCCCTTTCCTTTCTTTCCTTCTTTTTCTTTTGTTTTTAAGGTTATAATTGCTATTTCATTTAAAGTACTATAGTATGTGGTTCACAGAGTAGTGTTCAAAGATACATGCTTGTAGCCTTTGAAAATATTTTCATAAATGATGTTGCTTTCAGTTAGATATTGTAAACTGACATAAGTACTTATGCCTAAGAACCATCTTTCCTTTTGCATTTCTTCTTTTGTGGAAAAAGCAGAATATTCATGACAGGGATTCTGGGGAGATGAAAGCTCGTGAGAGAAGCGACAGAAGAGTACTAGGCAAAGTCATTCCTGTTCTACAAACCAAAACTAGGTAATGTAACAGTGTAATGATTCTGGTTTCTGGTAATTCCCTTTTAATTTCCTTCTATCCCCTCTCCAGTGTCCCATTAGTATGGAGGGGGAAATAAAAACCTACATAGGGAATAAACCTGAAGTTTTGACACTATCTACTTGTGTGATCTTGGGCAAGTCAAATAATCTTTTACTTTAGACCTCAGTTTCCATATCAGTAAAATAATACTAGTGATGCCTTCTCTGCTCCTTCACAAGTTATTAGGAAAGTAGAAATCCTGTTAGTGTAAGCAAACATTATATAAATACAAGATTTATCATCCTGTGTATAGAGAATCCTGATTGCTTATATAATAGGAGGTCAGAATAATTTTAACAAAATATAGAATTGTGTAGAAAGTCATTGAGTCATCTGTCCCTACTTACATTCAATGGGGGAAAAAATCCTAGTTAGGGATTGCAAATTTGGATTCTCTTTTCAGTTTATTTTCTTGTGGCCAGGAGATGGCAGTGTCTGTACATAGGCCTTTTCATTGAATGTATTAGAAAAGGTATATTTTAGATTGAATCAGATCTACTTCCTTAACAGTAGTGAAATACTTTAAAAAATACACACTTATTATAATTCTTTTTTTTTTTTTTTTTGGGGTCCAGTCGTGGGGCCTGAACTCTGGGCCTGAGCGCTGTCCCTCAGCTCAAGGCTAGCGCTCTACCACTTGAGCCACAGCGCCACTTCCGGCTTTTTTTTCTTTTTGCATATGTGGTGCTGAGGAATCGAACCCAGGGCTTCAGGCATGCAAGGCAAGCGCTCTACCACTGAGCCACTTTCCCAGCCCACTTATTATATATTCTTTAAAAACTAATGCTAGTTCTTTTTGACTACCACTCCAGTCTTATTTTCTGTTTTTTTTTTTTTTATTGTTAGCCTACTTAAGGGGAAACCTTGTGACTTTCTTTCTTTCTTCTTTCTTTCTTTCCTTCTTTCTTTCCTTCTTTCTTCTTCTTTCTTTCTTTCTTTCTTTCTTTCTTTCTTTCTTTCTTTCTTTCTTTCTTTCTTTCTTTCTTTCTTTCTTTCTTTCTTTCTTTCTTTCTTTCTTTCTTTCTTTCTTTCTTTCAGTTGTGAAGCTTTAACTCGGCCTGCAAGTACTGTCCCTGAACTCTTTCTTGAGCCATAGCCCCACTTCTGGTTTTCTGGTGGTTAATTGGAGATATAAGAATCTCACAGAACTTTCCTTCCTAGGCTAGCTTTAAACTGCTATCCTCAAATCTCAGTCTCCTGAGTAGCTAGGATTACAGGTGTGAGCCACTAGCAGCCAACTGTGAATTTCTTATAATCAAAATTGTACCAAAAGAACACTAGCAAGGCCAGTTGGAACAATAGTAAACATACTGTCTCAATATTCTCATCCACTCACTCTTTAGTGTAGTGTATTAGTATGAGAAAGGACAAGAAAGTGCTCTTGCTACAATGCTTGATAAGAAATGTGCTCATTATCTTACCCACGTAATTGTAACCCCTCTGTACAGTATTTTCACAATAAAAATATATTAAAAATTAAAAAAAAGAAAGTGCTCTTGCTAAGGTCACCATTGTACTAAATTGCCAGACTTAGCTGGTTCTTTTCAGTTTTCAACTTTTCTGAGGCTCTATGGAGTTAGCTATTTCCTGACTAACCTTGAATTACTTAACAAATGCTTTCTTTCTTTAGAGTCTAGGTAATTTTTACCTTCCTAATCTTTAGTAGCAAGAGTTTGTATCTAATTTTCCTCTTCCTTTTACTTCTCAATGTTATATGACTAACTCTGTCTTCTATTGCTAGATCTTTGCCTCTGAAAGTTGGTTGTTCAAACCATTCATCAGTGTGTGATTTCTCTTTATAAAATACTATAATCATGGTTCTAATAGACTATTTTTCTTCCTTCCAATTTGCTTTGTTCAGGTCTAGTGTTTCGACATTTTCACAATCAGATCTAGAAAAGCAGAAGGAAATTTATCTCAGCAGAGTCATTGCACATATAGAAGACCCAGGGGACTCCAATCAAGGTAAAATGGTGAACAAAGAATTGTAATCAAACATATGATGGGACTTTTTTTCTTTCCAGTGTAACTCAAACTGGGAAATTATTTTGAGTTTTCTTTTTCTTTTTTGTCTTTTGTTTGTTTTTCTTTGAAACAGATTTTCACTATTTAGTCCAGGTTGTCCTTAAACTCATGATTTTCCTGCCTTAGACTCCCAAGTGCTGAGATTACCAGTATATGTTATTATCATTGGTTTGAATTTTCTTAACTTGGTACAGGAAGATAACTTCCTTACCCAAAGATTTACTTTGTCTAACCAGATAGTTATTCAGAGTGCTTTGGGCTTAACCAGTATTAGGGAAAAGTCAAGCAAATTCACCCCCATACTGCAAATGAAGAGTGGCTTCCTGGTGGTTAAGGTATGTAGTAGTTCAGACATCTACCAACTCTACTAGTTCCTAAAAAGGATTACATTTAATGCACAGTAGGAAACAGGAAGAAATCCTTATGTGTTGGTAAAAGGAGAAGATGAATCAGAAGGATAAGTTCTACAGAAAAAGTTTTGAATTTAATTACCCTTAAGATCTGATGTAAATTACTAGGGACAGCTTTAGGAGAGTTTTCAGTCGTTTTGTAGAGAAGACCCCTCTTTTCTTTTGAAAAAGTCCTTAATTAGTAGCTTTGTTTTATAAGGCTCTAAGTGAAAGGTCTAAGAGACATAAATCAGAAGATTTTTTTTTTTTCTTTTGGTACTGATCCTGGGGCTTGAACTCAGGGCCTGGGTAATGTGTTTAACTTTTTACTCAAGGCTAGTTCTGTACCACTTTGGGCCACAGCACCACTTCTGGTTTTCTGGTGGTTAATTGGAGATAGAGTCTCACAAAGTTTTCTGCCCCAGCTGGCTTTGAACTTCAATCCTCATATCAGCCTCCTGAGTAACTAGGATAGATGTAAGCTATCAATATCCAGCTTGTGGGATATTTTTGGTTTGTGCTGTATTTTAGGCCTTCTGGAAGTAGAGATAACCTCTAACCCTCATAGTTGGAGGGCCAGATTTAATCAAGCTCTGTGGGAAAGGCCTGGGCATTTCTTTCTCTGAGGTGACTTTCCTTCCTTTATATTCTAGACAGTTGACACTAGTCCTAGTTACATATTTTTTTCTTGTCTGAGGCATTGAAGGAAAAGTTCAATGGCAAAGAGCAGTTGCACACATTTTAGCATCTTTTCATCCAGTCTTTGAATATTACCATAACAGTCTATATCCTATATGTATTCAGGAACACTAGACATACAATGGAAAGGCAGCAGACTAGTAGTGGGGAAAATAAAGTCTAGTGTAGAGCTAACTTCTTAGTTCAGATCTTCACACTTGTTAAATGACCTTGACTAGTTAAAAACTTACTTGTAAAGCCAAGCACCTGCGGCTCACACTTATAATACTAGCTACTCAGGAGGCTGAGACCATGTGATCATTCGACATTGGCTTAGAGTTTTAATAAGGTAAAACTCATTGCCATGTGGGAGCTATTTATTGCTTTAAAAATTCAAATTATTGGAAAGTTATTCCTTACATTGAAGCCAACTTGGACTTCTGGTAGTAGTTGCTGGTTTCTATCTTCTAAGCTTACAAAAAAAATTACTCTGTCATTTACTTATTTATTTGTTTTGGTTAATAGAAATAGTTCTCCAAAAGCTAGATATGGGTGGCTCAACCCTGTAATCCTAGCTACTCAGGAGGCTGAGATCTGAGGATCACGGTTCAAAACCAGTTCGGGCAGGAAAGTCCTTGAGACTCTTATTTCTAATTAACCACCAGAAAACCAAAAGTAATGCTGTGGCTCAAGTGGTAGAGCATTAACTTTGAGCTGAAGAGCTGAGGGGATAATACCTAGGCCCGAGTTCAAGCCTCACAACTGACCAAGGAAAGAAAGGAAGAAAGAATTCTCCAACAACAAAAAATTAAAATTTTTTAAAGAATTAAAATTATGCTGGGTGCCACTAACTAACACCTGTAATCCTAGCTATTTAGGAGGCTGATATCTGAGGATCATGGTTCAAAGCCATGCCAGGAGTCCATGAGACTCTTATCTCCAATAAAACCACTGGAAAACTGGAAGTGGTGCTGTGGCTCAAATGGTAGTGTACTTGCCTTGAGCTGAAGAGCTAAGGGATAGTGCCCAGGCCCAGTGTTCAAGCCCCACAACTGATACACACAAAAAAGAAAAATTATGCTTCAATCTGATCTGTCAAACCTAGAAGTAAAAAAATTAATATTTTGTTAATTATCTTATGTGGCAGACTTTTACAGAAAAGTTACTTATTAGAACTCAATAGGTTGAGATGTTAAGATCTCAGGTTTGAAGGGGAAGAAAAATCTAAGCATTCTTGCCTTCTTGCCTTCAGTAGCTAGGAGGAGGTATGGCTCAAGTGGGTAGAGCCCAGCCTTGAGTGAAGAGGCTAAGAGACAGTGCTCAGGCCTTGAGTTGAAGCCCTGGCACAAAACAAACAAAAAACCCTCAAAAACTTTTTTAAAAATTTTGGTTAGGGCTGGGAAGGTGGCTCAGTGGTAGAGCGCTTGCCTTGCATGCATGAGGCCCTGGGTTCAATTCCTCAGCACCACATAAGCAAAAAGAAAAAAGCCAGAAGTGGTGCTGTGGCTCAAGTGGTAGAGCGCTAGCCTTGAGCTGAAGAGCTAAGGGACAGTGCCCAGGCCCAGAGTTCAGGCCCCACGACCAGACCCCCCCCCCCCCCCAAAAAAAAATAAATAAAAATAAAAATTTTGGTCAGTCATGGGGCTTGAACTCTGGGCCTGGGCGCTGTCCCTCAGCTATTCAGCTCAAGGCAAGCACACTACATTTGAGCCATAGCACCACTTCTGGTTTTCTGGTGGTTTTGTTGGAGAGAAGAGTCTCACAGACTTTCCTGCCTGCACTGGCTCTGAACCGTGATCCTCAGATATCAGCCTCCTAACTAGCTAGGATTACAGGTGTGAGCCACTGGCGCCCAGCTTCCTCAAAAACATTTGATACTTGGCCAAAAAAATCTGTATTAATGTTTATTGCCACCAATATCAATGAATGATTTTAGCATTTCATTTGAATAAGGTTAAATGTTTATGATTACTGATAATTTATGTCTTTAATCACAATTTTGAAAAGCATCTTATATTGTATATTCCAGTTTCCAGTTATTTTAACTTGTTCAAATAGATTCTAATTAGAGTTTATGTGTTTATTCATTCTCCTCCTAATTTCTTACAATCTAGGTCACTTGTTTTGTAAATAGTTCAATATTCTGATTGTTTCCTTGGTGTTTTTGACTTATTCTTCCAATTCTCTATGTATCTTTAAAAATTGAATCTATAAGCAAGGTTAGATTCAGATTAAGCATTATGGTCAAGAATAGTTCTTTAAAGCTTTTGTTATTCATTCTATACCAAATTGGGAATCACATGTGCTAGAAAATGACAAGTTACTTCACCAGTATGATAATTTGTTAAGGTGTACTGCCATAACTTTAAATTGTAAGGCCCATTTCCCCCCTATACAATTAGCATAGTCTTCGGTGGGGTGATGTTTTTGAGCCATAGAATATCCTGCTTCCCAACAAACTACCTAGTGTTTGAGCATTCACTGATGATCTTTGTCTGAAGGATCATATATTTATCATGAGAGTTGTATAGAAAATGTTCCTGTTGCCAGGTGGAAGGGGCTCATGCCTGTGATCCTAGCTACTCAGGAGGCTGAGATCTGAGGATCACAGTTCAAAGCCAGACCAGGCAGGAAAGTCTCTGAGACTCTTTGTCTCCAATTAACCACCAGAAAACTGGAAGTGGTGCTATGGCTCAAGTGATAGAGCACTAACCTTTAGCTGAAGAGCTAAGGGACAGCACCTAAGACCAGAGTTCAAGCCCCATGACTGACAAAAAAAAGAAAAGAAAAAGAAAGTGTTCTTATTGTAACTAATACTTCTTTTTTTTTTTTTTGGTCGGTCGTGGGGCTTGAACTCTGGGCCTGGGCACTGTCCTTCAGCTCTTCACCTCAATGCAAGTGCTCTACCACTTGAGCTACAGCACCACTTCCAATACTTACTTCTATAATAAAAGATTCATGGACTTTCCTGCCTGGGCTGGATTTGAACTGCTATCCTGAGATCTCAGCTTCCTGAGTAGCTAGGATTCCAGGCATGAGCCACCTGCACTCAGCTCCCTTGGGTTTTTAATCTGAGGCATATATTATTCAGTTTAAGATTTATTTTTATTTTGGGTCTGGTTGTGGGGCCTGAACTCTGCGCCTGGGCGCTGTCCCTCAGCTCTTCAGCTCAAGGCTAGCGCTCTACCACTTGAGCCACAGCGCCACTTCCGGCTTTTTTCTTTTTGCTTATGTGGTACTGAAGAATGGAACCCAGGGCCTCATGCATGCAAGGCAAATGCTCTACCACTGAGCCACCTTACCAGCCCTCAGTTTCAGATTTCTTGAGGACCAGGAGCTGGTGGCTCATGCCTATAATCCTAGCTGCTCAGGAGGCTGAGATCTGAGGATCATGGTTCAAAGCCAGCCTGGGCAGGAAAGTCTGTGAGACTCTTATCTCCAATAAACCACTAGAAAACCAGAAGTGGCGCTGTGGCTCAAGTGGTAGAGGGCTCACCTTGAGCTGAAGAGCTGAGGACAATGCCCAGGCCCTGGGTTGAAGCCCCACAACTGACAAAAAAAAAGATTTCTTGAGGGTTTTGTTGTTGTTTTTATTGTTGTTGTTGTTGTTTTGATAATTATTTCTTCTCAGTATTTTGTTTCTTTTTCAGGAACTCCTAAAAGCTTCAAGAATTGATCTTCTAAGTCTCTTCTTTTTATTGTTCTACCTCTGTCTCCACAGTACTTTCTGGATTATTTCCTTAACCTCTTTCTACACTTTAACTGACAGTATAGTATCATTTCTACATTTACATTTATGATTTTCTAGAGTTCTTTTTCATATCATAGTTTACAAATTATATGAAGATTTTTTAAGTTATAATTGAAATACAATATACTATATTTTAGTGCTCTACCACTGAACCGTATCTGTAGCTCATACTAAGTCTACATTTTATTGAATTTTGATAATTTTGGAGGGCTGGATAGTTTAGTAACATATAACAATTTCATAGGTGGTAATTCATGAAATTACAAACACTGTTAAGTGTCTCAGACCCCAAAGTTTCTTTGTTTCCCACCCTAGTCCCCAGGAAGCCAATGATAGGCTGTTACTGCAGTTTGTATTTTCTAAAGTTTATATATATGGAGTCATAAAATATGTGCTCTTATTTTGAGCCTGGCTTCTTTTTCTCAGCATTATTATTAGTAGTAGTAGTAGTAATAGTAGTATTTTATCGGTCATGGGGCCTGAACTCTGAGCCTGGGTGCTGTCCCTCAGCTCTTCAGCTCAAGGCTAGTGCTCTGCCACTTGAGCCACAGTGCCACTTCCAGCTTTTTCTCAGCATTATTATTTTAAACTTATAATTGTTGCTGCATGTATCAATACCTTATTTTTACTGCTGATAGTATTCCATTATATAAATGTATCACATTTATTGTCACCCATTCATCTGTTGATGAAGATTTGTGCCCAATTTTAGCCATTACAGATGAAGCTGTGTGTGTCTGTGTGTCTGTGTGTCGGTCGTGGGGCTTGAACCTGTAGGCCTGGGTGCTATCCTTCAGCTCTTCAGCTCAAGGTGAGCACTCTACCACTTGAGCTACAGTGCCACTTGGGGTTTTCTGGTGGTTTATTGGAGATAGGAGTCTCACGGTCTTTCCTGCCCAGACTGGCTTTAAACCATGATCCTCAGATCTCAGCCTCCTGAGAAGCTAGGATTACAGGTGTGAGCCACTGGTGCCTAGCCCAGATGAAGCTTTAGGAATATTTGTGTGCAAGTCTTTATGTAGATATGCACAATAATTGTACCATTTATCTTTCTACTGTGTTAGAACACTAGTTGTTCTATCTTACCAATACTTGGTATGATCAGTCTTTAATTTTTTTCCTATTTTTATTAAACATTATTATAAAGGTGATGTACAGAGGGGTTACTATTTTATAAGTCATGTAGTGAGTACATTTCTTTTTGGACAATGTTAACCCTTCTCTCTTCCAGTTTTTCCCCCCTGGTCTCTATCCACAAGTTGTATAGTTCATTTTCAAGTGTCTCCTAAGTACCACTGCTGCATTTGTTCCTAATTTTTATTGTAAAATAGATAAAACATATATATTGCCTTCTTTAAGACTTTTTTTCCCCCCTGTTTAAAATTGTACACTTCAGGCTCAAGTGGTAGAGGGCTAGCCTTGAGCTGAAGCGCTGAAGAACAGTGCCTAGGCCCAGAGTTCAGGCCCCGCGACCAACAACAACAACAATTTAAAAAAACTATACAGTTCATTCTCCAGTGCTGAACATAAAATCCAACTAAGAGAAAGCACAAGAGCTATTGAACCTTTTGCTTCATCTCCCTCTGAACAGGCACTGCAGAAGTTGCAGAAAGAACAGAAGGTTTGTAGTTGATTTTGAATCTTTACATGCCCAGTAGACCCTCGTTGTTACCTCTAAAGTAGGAGTTGATATGTAAGTGTCCAAGGTGTTACAGCACGTTTAATGAAATTTTTATAATTTATTTAAAGAGAGAAAATTTAACTTTTTGGTCAAAGAAAGAGTATAATACAATATATAACTTTAATATTGCCTTTAAGCCAATATAATGTAGGCCAGGCTGGCTTGGAACTGGCCATCATCCTGCCTGAGCATCTCAAGTTCTAGGATCACAAAAATGGACTGACCTCTATGCCTAGTACCTTAAGAGTCTTTTCATGTGAAGAACAGGGCAAACTCCATTCAACATACATTTCTTCCCCATACTCTCCCACAAATTGTTGCCATGCTTACCCTCCCTCAGATATCCCAAGCCTGCTCTGTAAGTTTTGTTCCTCCAGGCCCTTTATCAGTATTACGTTTTCATCGGAGTGACTCCTGTGCCTAGATACATAATTAAAATTTGTTCTGTGTTTAAAAAATTCGATATAGTTCATTTGTTTTAAATATATTTATGCTGTAGTGTACTCAGCACTGCAAATTGTCTCTAGAACTTTTTTGGTGCCAGTCCTGGATCTTGAACTCAAGGACTGAGCTCTGGCTGAACTTTTGTGCTCAAAATTAGCAGTCTAGTCCTAGCCCAACTTCCTCCTTTCCTGCCTGGGCTAACTTCAAACTGTGATCCTTAGATCTCAGCCTCCTGAGTAACTAGGATTACAGGTATGAGCTACCAGCAGCACCTGGCTGGTAATTCTGCCTAAAAATTATACATATATATATTTTTTTTTTTGAGAAACTGCCAAACTTTTTTCCACTGTAGTTATGCGTGTGTGTGTGTGTGTGTGTGTGTGTGTGTGTGTGTGTGTGTGTGTGTGTATGTGTGTGTGTGTGTGTGTGTCCCCGTGTCCGTCCGTGTGTGTCCTGGGGCCTGAACTCTGGGCCTGGGTGCTCTGAGCAACAGCTCCACTTCTGATTTTAAGGTGGTTAGTTGGAGATTAGAATCTCACAGGCTTTCCTGCCTTAGCTGGCTTCAAACCATGATTCTCAGATCTCAGCCTCCAAATAGCTAGTATTACAGACGTGAGCCACTTGTGCCCAGCTCAAAAGACTTTTTTTAAATAACAAAAGTCATCTTTTATGTTTGGTTATATAATTATCATTTCTGGTGTCTTTTTTTCTTCTTTTTCATCTTCTTTACAGTGCCAGAAATGGAGCCCAGGGCCTCACACATGCTAGGCAAGCACTATTCCACCGAGTTATGTTCCCATCCTCCATTTCTAATGTTCTTTTTTTTTTTTTTGGTCGGTTGTGGGGCTTGAACTCTGGGCCTGGGCGCTGTCCCTCAGCTCTTCAGCTCAAGGCGAGCGCTCTACCACTTGAGCTACAGCGCCACTTCCGGTTTTCTGGTGGTTTATTGGAGATAGGAATCTCACGGTCTCTCCTGCCCGGGCTGGCTTTGAACCGCGATCCTCAGATCTCAGCCTCCTGAGTAGCTAGGATTACAGGCGTGAGCCACCAGCGCCCGGCATCCATTTCTAATGTTCTTGATTCCATTTCTATGGATAAAAGTTTCCATCTGATATTATTTTGCCTTTTACCCTGAGGAACTCCTTTGTTTTTTGAGTATAGTATATGTCAGCTGGTAATAGGTCTCTCTTTTATTTGTGTTTATTTTCCTTTCATTTAAAAATGCCTTTTGAAAATTTATAGACTCGTTGGGTACCAGTGACTCATGCCTGTAATTTTATGTATTCAGCAGGCTGAGATCTGAAGATTATGGTTTGAAGCTAGCCTGGGCAGAAATATCTGTGAGACTCTTATTAATCATGAAAAAAAAAAAGCCAGAAGTAAAGCTGCGTTCAAGTGTAGAGCGCTAGCCTTGACCAGAAGAAGGTCAAGGACAGTCCCCAGACCCTGAGTTCAAGCCCCAGGTGTCAGTCTTGAGTAAAAGCCCCAGGACTGGCACCCCTCAGAAAAGAAAATATAGCCAGGCAGTGGTGGTTCACCCTTGTAATCCTAGTTACTCAGAAGGCTGAGAGCTGAGGATTGTGGCTCAAAGCCAGACTGGGCAGAAAAGTCCAAGAGATTCTTTTTTTTTTTTTTTGGGTCCGGTCGTGGGGCCTGAACTCTGGGCCTGGGCACTGTCCCTCAGCTCAAGGCCAGCGCTCTACCACTTGAGACACAGTGCCACTTCCGGCTTTTTTCTTTTTGCTTATGTGGTGCTGAGGAATCGAACCCAGGGCCTCATGCATGCAAGGCAAGCGCTCTACCACTGAGCCACCTTCCCAGCCCCAAAGTCCAAGAGATTCTTACATCCAGTTACCACCAGAAAATTGGAGCTGGAGAGCTGAGGGACAGCACCCAGGCCCAGTTCAAGCCCTATGACTGACAAAAAAAAAAAAGAAAGAAGCCGGGCGCTGGTGGCTCACGCCTGTAATCCTAGCTACTCAGGAGGCTGAGATCTGAGGATCGCGGTTCAAAGCCAGCCCGGGCAGAAGAGACCGTGAAACTCCTATCTCCAATAAACCACCAGAAAATCGGAAGTGGCGCTGTAGCTCAAGTGGTAGAGCGCTCGCTTTGAGCTGAAGAGCTGAGGGACAGCGCCCAGGCCCAGAGTTCAAGCCCCACAACTGACAACAAAAAAAAAAATTAAAAAGAAAAAAAAAAAGAAAAAGAAAAGAAAGAAAATTTATAGACTTATAAGAAATTTCAAGACTTACCTCTATTTCTTTTCACTCAAAGATCACATTCTGAATAATACAAAGATAGTTGTTATTTATATTTTGCCCAGTTTCTAGGTGTTTACAATGAGAGGTTAAGACCCTATTCGTCTTGGCTAGAAGTGGAAGTTTCTGCTTTGATTCTTATTGGAAAATCATAGGCAGCACTGGTTATGTAAGTAGGTTCTGAATTTGCTATAACATTTAAGCACATTTGTATGTCAGTATCTGTTTACCATTTCAGAAGTGGGTTTATAAATTAGACATTGGCAGTTGATGCTTTAATCTTAGTTCCCTGAGATTAGGAGGATTGTAGTCTGAAGACAATCCAGATAGAAGTTTGCATAATCCCTTCTCAATGGAGAGCTGTACATCGTGGTTTATACCTCTTATTCTAGCTACCAACAGAAATCCTAAAATAGACGCATCATAGGCAGGAAACAAGCCCCTGTTTTAAAAATAGCACAAAAATGGCTGGAGGTGTGGCTCAGCAGTAGAGCACCTGCCTAGCACATAAGGAACTGACTTCAAACCCCTGTACCATTAGAAGAAAAAAGAGTTCTATATAATTCCTCTTCCTTTTACTATGTAATAATTGCAAAGAAATTCAAGATTTGTACTAGTCTTTTTTGTTTGTTTTTGTCGGTTGTGGGGCTTGAACTCTGGGCTTGGGCTCTCTGTCCCTGAGCTCTTCAGCTAAAGACAAGAGTTCTACAGCTTGAGCCACAACGGCAATTCCATTTTCTAGTGGTTTATTAGAGATAAGAATCTCACGGATTTTCCTGCTTGGGCTGGCTTTGAACCAGATCTCAACCTCCGTGTAGCTAGGATTACAGGGTAAGCCACCGGCACCCAGCTAGATTATTAGTCTTACTGATCTAGAAGTGATATATATTTACATTCTTGAATTCTCTTATTTGGTAACCCATGCCCCTTGGATCACAGTTTTCATTGTTGTTTTTTTAAACTTTTTTTCTTCATTCCTTCCCATATATTATATATTTTAGATAACCTGGAACAGACATATTATGTAGTTTTGTGGGGTTTTTTTGCCAGTCCTGGGGCTTGAACTAGGGCCTGGGCCCTGTCTGAGCTTCTTTTTGCTCAAGGCTAGCACTCTACTATTTAAGCCACAGCACCACTGTATCTGCCACTGTATTAGCAGTCTCAAGTGAGTGTTCTCTTCTAAAGCCCTGTTTGTGTGTTATATTCTCTCTCTTACTTTCTAATGTCCCTTCCTCTCTCATTACTGAAGTTCACATTCCAAAGGACAGTATCTGATTGATTCACTTAATAACCTGTTGGTGCTAGGCCACATTCTACTCATTAGCCAGCTGAATAATTCTATTCTTTAGTCCTCTGTCACACTTGACTGAGTAGGATCATGTGGTACAGAGTATGGTGACCTATAAAATCTTTGAGAATTTCCATAACAACATTAAAGGTTACCAATTCTGTATTATAACAATTCATTTTCCACTTATTAAAGACAGTTATTAAATTGAAATTTCCTCCACACATTAAGGTTTAGGTGAATTACTCATCTGATCACTCCTTTTATGCTAGGGCTTTTTTTTTTTTAATCCAAATTTCATTCTTAGATGAATTTCATTCTCAGTGACAAAGGACAGTTGTTGCCACCTTTAGCCACTACTTAAAATAAAACCATGGTACTGATTGTTGATCCAAGAAAGCCCATCTGCTAGAGACTATGAAGAGAAGAAAAATTTAAATGTTCCCATTCTTGTTAACATCTCTAAATTTGTAGGAAGAAGAGGTTGAAGCTATGAGCTAAAATAAAGTTGGGGATTATTAGGCCTACCTAGGTTTGAATTGTAGCATTCCCATTTGTTAGATTATAGATGAATGTTGTTGCTAAGCTTCAGTTTATTCATGAATAAGATAGAGACGGTGGCATTCTGTTACAATTTTTAGAATTCAATGACAGAGGAAGTGGCGCCGTAGCTCAAGTGGTAGAGCGCTCGCCTTAAGCTGAAGAGCTGAGGGACAGCGCCCAGGCCCAGAGTTCAAGCCCCACGACCGACAAAAAAAAAAGAATTCAATGACAGATACATGTATAACAATTAGCAGATAGCTAATATAATAGATGTTACCCAATTCCAACAATTTTGTGGAGGTTAAACTCAGAGCCTTACATGTGCTCATACTGTACAAGGGATAGGAAAGTGAATTTGTACCAATACATTGGGCAAATATTTTTTATTTATTTATTTATTTGTGTCAGTTGTGCGTGAAGCCTGAACTCTGGGCCTGGGCGCTGTCCCTCAGCTCTTCAGCTCAAGGCTAGTGCTCTACCATTTGAGCCACAGCACCTCTTCTAGCTTTTTCTGCTTATGTGGTGCTGAAGAATAGAACCCAGGGTCTCATGAATACAAGGCAAGCATTCTACCACTGAGCCACCTTCCCAGCCCTGGACAAAGAATTTTTATTTTTTTATTTTTTTTTCTCCTGGGGCTTGAACTCAATGCCTGGGTACTATCCTTGAGTTTCTTTTGTTCAGAGCTAACACTTTACAACTTGAGCCACAGCTCAAGTTTATTATAGATAAGTTTTATAGACTTTCTTGCCTAGGCTTGCTCCAAACCACATTTCTGAGATCTTAGCCTCCTTAGTAGTGAGGATTACAGGGATGAGCCACTGGTACCCAGTACCAGTCCTGGGGTTTGAACTCAGGGCCTAGGCCCTTTCTCTGAGCTTCTTTTGCTCAAGGCTAGCACTCTACCACTCGAGACAGTTTCACTTTCTGCTTTTTCTGTTTACATGGTACTAAGGAATTGAACCCCGAACTTCATGCGTGCCAGGCAAGCATTCTACTCAGCCACTTTCCCACTTCCCTATTTTTAATTTTTTTTTTTAAAAGAGATCCTGTTAAGTTGCCCAGGCTGGCCTGGAACTTATGAGTTCAGGTGAGCTTCCTGCCTTAGCCTCTCCAGTTCAGGCAAAGCATTTTCTGATCAAGAGCTACTTCCCAGCTAGGTGTGAGGTAGAAAGATCACAAGTTTAAGGCCAGCCTGGATTACATAGTTGCCCCCTTCCTCCCCCCCCAAAAAAAAGGGAAGTGTGTTTCAGATTTATATTTTATTCACAAGGAATGTGAGTAAATTTTTTTTTCCTCCAGTCCTGGGGCTTGAACTCAGGGCCTGAGCATTGTCCCTGAGCTGCTTTTGCTCAATGCTAGCACTCTTACCACTTGAGCCACAGTGCCACTTCCAGCTCTTTCTGTTTATGTGGTATTGAGGAATCAAACCCAGGGCTTCATGTATGTTAGGCAAGCCACATTCCCAAACCTGTTTTTTAAATTTTATATTGATAAAATTGAACATTCTTCCCCCCACCCCCCAAGACCAGGATTCTCACTCTGTATCTGATGCTTCAGCTTATTCAGCTGGTACTCTACCACTGGAGCCATGCCTTCGACCTCTCTTTTCATATTTTATTTACTATTTATCCACTTTTTTCTGATGAGTAAAGTAAGGCTCAAGAAGTAAAATGATTTGCTCTGGGTCACAGAGGTAATTAGTTGCATTTAAATTTTAACTCAAGACTGCCTAACTCCCAACACTTTTTCTACAAATCTTCATGAGCTTTCAGATAATTGCTACTAAAAGTTATCTTTACTAGAATCTAAAAAGATGGTCTTATAGCCTTGATTAGACTAGCTTAGTTCTTGAAAACAGTAGAGGAATGAGAAACACGTAACTAGTTAAATAAAAGTTGTCCAGGACAGTGGTCTTAGGAGTGTGGTTCTCAGATTATCAACAGCATCAACAGCACTGGAAATATGTTAAAAATTTTAATTAAGACCCACCCCAGACCAACATAATCAGAAATTCTGGAGTAGAAAACAGAAAACTTTATAATCTATCCAGCTGATTTTGATGTGTAGTTTAAGAGTCACTAGTCAGGAGAAATTGTTTCCTCACTAGTATTTTATTTCTGTTCTGGAGACTTTAGCTTAAGTATAAAATTAGCATTATTACACAGTGGCAAGTGCCTGGTGTCACATCAGGAACTAATTGAATTCTGGGTTAGTAAGCTTTTAAGGCAAGTTCACATCTCTGAGCTATAGTTTCCCCTCTGTGAAATGTTAATAACATCTATCTCTATGTAAGTTACTCTTTTAGAATTAAGTAAGAACATGTGAAGTATGCTTAGGACATTATTTGGCTCCCAGGCTTTACAGAAAGTATCCCTAGCAATTTTTCTTGCCAACAAAGAGTGTACACCTCGATTGTTCTAAACTCCTTGTTTCTTGAACATATTTTGCCATCATTTGTCTCTGGCTTTCTTATTAACATTAGCTTTTTTTTTGACACCTCAACCTCTTATATCTCTTCTGTACATCCATTAGATCCCTGCTTATAGTTTACTTCCTTTGTAGAGGGATTTTCCTAATTCCCAAACTCTCAATAGCAGCTTCTGTTTCTCCATCATGCCATTTAACCACACCTTTTTTTGTTCTTTTTTTTTGTCTGAGACCAGGACTCAAACTCAGTATCTGATGCTTTTTCTATTGGCAGGTATCCTGCCACCTGGGCCACACCTCCAACCCCTAAACCATGTTTTTGAAATCACCTTTCTACTATATTTAACCAGAGGGCAGGTACAACATATCTTTCACTAGCATGTTCTTAGGGACTAGTAAACTTCTTTTATTGTAGGAGCTAATGTTGAGTATATGAATAACAGCTGCCGTTACCGTTTCATTGTCATATAAGAGCAGCTCCTCACTTTGCCTTGAAGTTTTGGGGTTTATAATAATCATAATTAGCTACTAAGCCTAGTTCCTGGACTGGGATTGTGGCTTAGTGGTGGAGTGTTTGCCTAGCATGCAGGAAGCCCTGGGTTCAGTTCCTCAGTATCACATAAACAAAAAGGCCACAAATGGAGTTGTGGCATAAGTGGTAGAGTGCTACCCTTGAGCAAAAGAAGCTCAAGGACAGTGCCCAGGCCCTGAGTTTGAGCTCCAGGACTGGCAAAAAGAAAGACTAGTACCTATTTTTCTGTTCTGAAAGCATATGCTTTGATTTAGGCTGACATAGTAGTTTTCTAAACTGCTTCCTAACCACTATTTAGAAAACTGCTTCCTAACCACTGGTCTTTTTCACAGGTACTTCCGGGGAGCTGGATACTTTGATGGATCAAGTTCATATGCAGAACCCAGACTGGCAGCATCCTTCAGATCTTACTACTCGGTGAGTAGATAATTAGAAGAAGAAAAGGGTGGAATTTGGCTTCAGGGAAAGATGGTGGGGAGTTGGGATTTAGTTATGTATTTACAGTGGGGGGAAATGAAAGATAAGAACTGGAGTTAAAAAGCAGAGCTCTAGTAATCTTAGCAATTCAGGAAGCTGAGATCAGAGGATTGGGGTTTAAAGCCAGCCCCGGCAGGAAAGTCTGTAAGACTCTTATTTCCAATTAATCATCAAAAAAGCCAGAAGTGGAGCTGTGGCTCCTGTAGTAGAGCACCAGCCTTGAGCAAAAAAGCTCAGGGACAGCTCCCAGGGCCTAGGATTGTGTGTTTGTGCATGTGTGTGCATTTGTGCACACACAGGGACAGTGCTTAGGCTTTAAGTACACACACACACCACATACACAACCTCAGGGACACTGCTTAGGCTTGAGTACACTACAAACACACACACACACACCTCAGGGACAATGCTTAGATCTTGAGTTCAAGCCCAGATCTGGCACCAAGTAAAAGAACTAGAATGAAACCCAGGAAACGGGTTCTGATACTAGCTTTGTAATAGTTAACTGGCATGATTTTAATCAAATCACTTCACTTTTCTTGTCATCTCATCAGCAGAATAAAGATGTTAGACTAATTGATGTCAAAGATCTTTCTAATTCTCAAGTCTGGGTTCTTTATGTAGTTCAGCTTTATAGATTAATATGCAAACAGGACTGGGATGTGGCTCAAATAGTAGAGTACTTACCTAGATTAATACTCAAAGACTTTGGAGTAGGGGGATGCTTCATGTGATAGAGTACCTGCCTAGCAAGCGTGAGGTCCTAGGTTCAAACTCCATTAACTGCCAAAAGAAACCCTTCAAATTATCTTTGACTCCTTAATAATTCTGTACATTTAGTCCATCCGCAAATCCTGTAGATTCTACATATCCAGATCATGACCACTTCTCATTATTTGACCTAGATTTTGTGAATTTTCTAAATGTTCTCCCTGTTTCTGACATTGCCTGCCTACTGTTCTTAACTCAGTAGCCAAAGGAGTTTTTTTGTTTTGTTTTGTTTTGTGCCAGTCCTGAGGCTTGAACTCAGGGCTTTGGGTACTTTCTCTGAGCAATTTTTTTTTTTTCTCTCAAAGCTGGTAGTCTACCACGTGAGCCACTTCCAATTTCTTTTGGTAGTTAATTGGAAATAAAGTTTCATAAGACTTCCTGCCCACACTGGCTTTGAACCTGGTCTTCAGATCTCAGCCTCCCAAGGAGCTAGACTTATAGGAATGAGCCACCAGCATCTGGCTGCCAAAGAGATTCTTTAAAAGCATTAGTCATATTATCTTCTTTGCTTAGTTTCCTTGTGGTTTCCCATAATCTTATCTTCCTGTCCTCACAGGCCCTCAAAAATGCCTTTATGCTTTGATGTAACTTCACTAACCTCATCTCCTGCTACTTTTTCTGTTGTTCATTCAGTTCTATTTACACTGGTTTCCTAATCCCTGTTTTGTTTTTTTTTTTGGTGGAACTAGGATTTGAACCCAGGACCTTGCGCTTGATAGGCTTTCTTGCTAGAAAGGTACTCTATCACTTGAGCCCATGCCTCCTTTTTGTTAGTTATTTTAGAGATGGAATCTTACAGGCTTTTCTGCCTGAGCTGCCTTAGAAACTTAGTCCTCCTGAATAGTTAGGATTGTAGGCTTCCAGCTTCCTGCTGTTCTGTTTTTGTTTGTTTTGTTTTATACAGGATCTCAATATATACTCTAGCTCACCTTGAATTCTTAACCTTCTTATCTTGACCTCCTAAGAGCTGGATTACAGATGTGCACCATCATGCCCTGCTTCTTCATGTCTTTTAAACATCAAAATCATAGCACTTCTCAGAAAGAAAGGCAGTATAGACTGGAGGTGTAGCTTGGTGGTAGATACTTTCCTAGCATGTACAAGGTCCTGGGTTTAATCCCCATTCCTATCCCACAAAAAGAAAAAGACCATGTAATAGATTTATTATTATATAAATTTTAGAATCAGAAATGAATTAAAATTAAAACTTTTCTGTGTAATGACCTGGGCAAATTATTTAACTTGAGCCTTAGTTTCCCTACTTGTGCAAGAAGTTGAGAGTCCTTTCCTAGTATAATTTCACTAGCTTTTTCCTTTTTCTTTTTTTGGCAAGTACTAGTCTGAACTTAAGAGTCTCTTGTCCACAGCTTGCCTTCTACTAGAACCAAACCTCTAGCCTGGCTTTGTTGTTATTGGTAGTGGTGCTCATGGGGCTTGAATCCAGAGCCTGGACGCTGTCTCTGAGCTCTTTTGCTCAAGGCTAGAGCTCTACCACTTTGAGCCACAGGGCCACTTCCAGTTTTCTGGTGTTTAGTTGGAGAACTATGACCCTAGGATCTTAGTTTCCTGAATAGCTAGGATTACATGTGTAAACCATCAGGTCTAGTGGGTTTCACTAGTTTTTAGGATGATGAAATGTTTAAAGAATGAAGCAAATATCTATAGTGATAGAATAAATGTCAGGTACTGTTGTATTATTTATAGTCCTATGCTCCTTATAACTACCTATTGAGATATCTGTAAGTATAGATGTCTAGGCCCTGACTCCAAGGATTCTGAGTCATTACATCTGGGGAAAGAGCCAAAAATCACACCTTGTCACCCAGACTGACCTCAAACTCAAGATCCTTCTGGCTCAGCTGGGATTACAAGTATGTAGCACCACATCTGGCTAAGAAGCCATGTCTTTAAAAAGCTTCCAAGGGGCTGGGAAGGTGGCTCAGTGGTAGAGCGCATGCCTTGCATGCCAGAGGCCCTGGGTTCGATTCCTCAGCACCACATAAGCAAAAAGAAAAAAGCCGGAAGTGGTGCTGTGGCTCAAGTGGTAGAGTGCTAGCCTTGAGCTGAAGAGCTGAGGGACAGCGCCCAGGCCCAGAGTTCAGGCCCCATGACAGGACCCAAAAAAACAAAAAGCTTCCAAGATAGTTATTAGGATCATTTTTGGTGTTCAGAATGGATCCAGCTGGGTACCAGTAGCTCATGCTTATAATCCTAGCATTCAGGAGGTTGAGATCTGGAGGACATGACTGTGGTTATAGGGTAACAACCAAGCAAGCAAAGCAAGTAAGCATGAGGACCTGAGTTCAAACCTCAGTTAAAAAAAAAAAAAAAAAGATTGTGTATTAGGTCTTGCTTAGACCTCCAGTGCAGCCTTGTCTGCTATTATTTAGTCTTCAAACTTCAAATATGAAACTGATCTGAGAAATCGTTTCAGATTTTAACTGTGTCCTGAGCTATATGTCAATGAACTCATGTTGGAAGTGCAGGTCTGCTGCAAGCAATGAAACAGATCCTGCTATCAATGCTTCTAGAGGGAGAAATATTTTTCATTGTCCTTACTTAAACATGATTTATTCTCTCTCTCTGTATCTCATTCTTCAAGATATATCTCTGTCTTTGTGTCTGTCTCTGCCCCTCTCTCCCTCATCCCTTCTTTCCTTCTTTCCTTCTCTCTCTCTCTCTCTCTCTCTCAGATCTTGCTGTGTAGTCTAAGCTGACCTTAAATAAACCCAGCTTCTAAACATTATTTGTTTGTGTATGCCAGTCCTGAAGCTTAAATTCAGAGCATGGGCACCGTCTGGAGCTTCTCAAGGCTAGTGCTCTACCACTTGAGCCATAGCACCACTTCTAGCTTTTTCTTATTTTTTCTTATTTTTTATTGAAAATAAGAGTTTCACAGATTTTTCTGCCAGGATTGGCTTCAAAAAGCAATCCTCAGATCTCAGCCTAGGATTACAGGTATGAGCCACTAATACCTGGCTTCCTAAATATTATTGTACATTAGTTTTTTTAAGAATACTTGGTGGCACATATAATGATTAATATCTGAGGTATTGTGAGTTAGCAGGAAGTAGGATATTGCTGTCATATATTTGAAATAGTATAAAATTATGAGAATAGAAATATAAAATTAAAGCTGGGTGACAGTGACTCATGCTTATAATCCTAGCTACTCAGAAGGCTGAGATGTGAGGCTCAAGGTTCAAAGCCAGCTCAGGCAGGAAAGTCCATGAGACTCTTAACCACCAGAAAACCAGAAGTGGGGCTCAAAGTGGTAGAGCTCTAGTCTTGAGCAAAAGAGCTCAGGGACAGAGCCCAAGACCTGAGTTCAAGCACCATGACTGACAAAAAGAAAAAGAAAATTAATCTCAGTTCTAAAAATAAGAATTTTAAGAGTCCTGGCCTTTTGTGTATAAATTGCTGTTCCAGCTGAAATATGCTTCCTGTTTTTATTCTCCCTCTCTTGATAGAAATTATGCCCGGTTCCGACAGAAACCTCTGCAAAGATACAGTCTGACTCAGTGGGTTGACAGGAACAAGCGAAGCCACCATCGGTTCAAGCGTCTACCAGACTTCTATAGTCCATATGTTTCATCCCATCAGCAATGAAGGTCCTAGCCAGGGCCCTGTTCAGAGCAGCATCTCTTTTCTGCTGTTTTGTGCTTTACATATTTTGAAGTTTATTTTTCACAAAATTTTTATTTAACGAACTTGTCACCTTTTGGAAATGCCCATTGCTGACTTGAATTTTTTTGTATGAGGACCTTCCTGATTTTGTGTGTTTGTGTGTGTTTAAGCAGTGTTAAATTGATGGGTTTGTTTTGTTTTTGTTTTAATTTAAATTGACTGCCTCTTGAAGGCAAGCATTAAGCCAAAACCCAGGTTCAACAGAACATCCACCTCTGTGTAGAGGTAAAGCCTACTTCTGGTGCCCAAAAGAAGTCATGTTTTAATCTACTGTAAGGAAGAGATTCTTTACCAGGCTATGAGCCAATGTTAATTATTGCTGATGTCTTGTGAATGGATATAAGTCACTTTGTGTGAGAGTGGGTGTGTTTGCGTGCTTGCACATGTGCTGGTACTGGAGCTTGAATTGAGGGCCTTATGCTCTTGATAGGCTTTCTTGCTGGCACTCTATCTCTTGAGGCTATGCCTTCAGTTCAGCATTTTGCTGGTTAATTGGAGGTGGAGTCTCATAGACTTTTCTGCCCAGGCTGGTAGATATGTCACTTTTAATGACCCTTTTTACTTCTTAAATTTGAATCTTGGAACACTTGTCAGTATTTTAAAGTTGGTAATCAGGACATTTGAAGTAGGGTGGAGTAGGAAAAAAAATCCTAGTGAAAGGAAGAATTAAAAACATAAATCTCCTTTCTGTACCTATTAGCTGCCATTATTATTATTATTGGCTATTTTCAGTTTCTGCTAAATTTATTTTGCACATATTGTTTACAAATCTTATACATTGTTAGTTGACAGAAGACTGCTGACTAGCCTTTCTTGAATACCTTGTGGTTTTCTGATTGTCTTCTTTGCCCTTTTTTAAGATACTCCTTTCCCTCCTCCCCACCCCTAACAACTCACTTTGTTCCCTAGGGTTCGACAGATACTATTTCTGTATCATGTTAGACTTGAATATGCCATATGCCTTTTCAGATTGGCGTTCTTGTTTTCTTTATTAAAGGTTGTCCACTGATCAGCAGACCAGTGTTACTGAGGTGTCTGTTGATCTTAAGCTTCATTGTCTGCTCCCCAACCTTAAGTTTAGGGTGTTAGTCAAAGTGCTTCTTTCCTATGGAAGCCTTTGAGGAGGCACTCTTGTCTCCATCATTAGTTAATAGGTACTTTTAGACCCTGGATATTACTGTCTGTTGGTCCAGCCGCAGATACATAGTTTCACGTAATGGCTCAAGTGGGTCTAATAGAATTGTGATTGAGCCGTGCACAAATGCATTACTTGATCTTAAGGTTTGGTATTATAACCAAAGCTAACAGACTTTGTGCATTTTTCTTAATGGATATCTTAGGAGTTTGTTATTTTCTCATTATAGACATCTCTAGATAACATTTTGGAAAGTTTTGCAATCTGGCACTCACACAGCTGTTATTTACCCTGTGAAGGTGTTCATAGTTCCTGTAGCCTCTGTCTAGTTTTCTTTCATCAGCTCCATTTTTGTATGTATGTAAGCTATCTTAAAAATCCTACCCCAGTTTAGAAACTGACTTGAGAAAAGCATGGTCATTCAAGCCTCTGATAAATTAGATAGGTGTTTCTATTTACTTTTTTTATCCAGTCAAAGATTCTCTTTCCTTAGACATTTGATTTAAATTCTGTGATTACAATTCAGTAGAGGAATTCCATGCAAAAACAGTAGTCAGAATCTACTACCTTAGTTGGGGTAATTGGCATTTATGTCACTGGTCACTTCTCTAATCTGCCTGAAATTAGCCTGATGAAGTGAGACAAGCCAAACATCCACCTTTGGGACCAAAGCGTAATTCAAATTAAACATAGCTGGACTAGCTAGCATTGCAGCTGTCTTGTTCCTCACAGGTAACCCAAGGAGTGAAGGGACAGCATTTTTATTTATTTATTTTTATTTAATTTTATTTTTTGTTGTCGGTTGTGGGGCTTGAACTCTGGGCCTGGGTGCTGTCCCTGAGCTCTTCAGCTCAAGGCTAGCACTCTACCTCTTGAGCCACAGCGCCACTTCCGGTTTTCTGGTGGTTAATTGGAGATGAGTGTCTCACAGGGACTTTCCCGCCCGGGGTAGTTTCAAACTGCAATCCTCAGATCTCAGCCTCCTGAGTCGCTAGGATTACAGGAATGAGCACTGGTACCTGGCTTGAGACAGCATTTTGCTTAGGCAAACATCTGAGATGTTCTTGCCCTTCTGGTACAGGAAGGTTTTAAAACTAAATGTGTAATAGGAGTGTTGCCTTTGCCAAATCAAATGAGTGACAGGTTAACTAGAAAATGTGACAATCACATTTCCTCTTTGCTCAAATAATTCTGTTTTTCCAAAGCTTTAGCAGCTTAATTAAATCTGTTGGACTGGGGGAGGAGAGAGCTGTTCTCTAGTGGTTAACATGGTATTCTTTAAAAAGAAAAACAAAGCCAAAGAAAACTCATCTGGCATGTTTGCCTTAAGATGGTAATGGGTAGAAACTGGAGTTTTAATCTCTTTTCAAAGCTGCATATCTCTTACGTTTGATGTTTGACGTAAGTCTAGTATTTCAGGTAGATTTTTTGCTATATGTTTAAATTTGAGTAAGGGTTAGGTGCATTTAACTACTTACCTAGCTTTCTTCATCTGTGATGACATTCTCCCCACAGGGGTCTTGACAAAGCAGAGTAAAAATGTGCTATTTTTTTTCCTTCTAAAAATGGAGCCTGAAATAGCCTATAGTTTTCATCTAAAACAGGTTCTGATGTACTTGCATTGTTGTCAGGATCAGTTATGAAACGGAAGTGTAGTGCCTCCTCTTTATCATGTTTCTTCCCTTGTAGCAGTTGTGTTTAATGTCATTAAAAAGAAATAAAAGTTCTTGTCAGTGGCATATGTATTGCGGCCGTCTGTTGCAGGCTTGGGAGAAGGGTTATGTGCTTTCCTCCTTTGCGTAGGTAGGTTAGTGGGATATGGGAGTGGGGTGGCATTTAATAGAATATGGTTCTGGGAAGGCGAGGGTGCTTGCTCTCTATTCTTTTGATGGTAAATTACAGTGTTGAGAAAGGCGTTCCAGCAGTTAAGAAATGTTGAAATTGATTGGGATTTGCAGCTACATATGGTGCATGTCAGGAGTCTGACACAGGGAGAGCCTGAAATATCACTGTGCTGCTGTTTTTGCAGAGGGAGAAGGTGGCTCAGCCTTTAGCAGGAAGGCAGTGACTTGTATTCCTTCCTATGGCTGCATGGTTGGTCACTGTTACCTGCTTATCTAGAACTGGTACTGATTAAGGAAGAAGCCATTCTATTCTAGTTCAGGATATTCTTCCTTTGAAGATGTGAGACACTAGAATTAGTAGTACAAAATTAATATTGCTTTTAATGCAACTTTTACAGAAACTGCTGCTCCAAAAACCTGGGGTGAAAGTTGGATAGGTGGGTAGATGTAGGAGTATGTTCTTTAGATTCCTTAATGAATCAGAGGTTCTTGGACTTATCTTCAGGAGGAAGGATAAACGGGCAGGCACCTAGATTAGCCATTGCTGCTTTTTTTGTTTTGTTTTTGGTACAGTCCTGGGACTTGAACTCAGGGCTTGGGCATTATTCCTGAGTTGTTTTTGTTTTGTTTTGTTTTTTGCTCAAGGCTAGCGCTCTACCACTAGAGCCACAGCTCTATTTCCAGCTCTTTTTAATTAGAGTTACAAGTATCACAGACTTTCCTGCCTGAACAAGCCTCAAGCCATAATCCTTAGACCTCATCCTCCTTATTAGCTAGGATTAGAGGCATGAGCCAATGACTCCTGGCAGCCAGTGCTTTAAAAATCCCAGCTCATGCTGAGAAAATATACTTGGACACTCATTAGCCAGTTAGTCTATAAGCTTTTTATTTTTATTTTAATGCAGGATCAATGTAAATCAGGCTGACTTTGAACTTACTATGTAGCCCCAGCTGGCCTTGGACTTAGAATCTTCCTGCCTTCCAAATATTGGGATTATGGGTATGAACTACTATGCCCAGCTATGTTTTGTCTAATATATATATTAGATAAATATGTATTCTGATATTATCCAGGCAAAGGCTCAATATAAATATAAGTACTCAGCTAACTGGTATTCTCAATCTGTGATACACTCTCTTTTTTTTTTTTGTCCATTGTGGGCTTGAACTCGGGGCCTGGGTGCTGTCCCTCAGCTATTTAGCTCAAGAAGGCAAGCACTCTACCACTTGAGCCACAGCACCACTTCCGGTTCTCTGTTGGTTTATTGGAGAAAGTCTCACAGACTTTTTCTGCTCAGGCTAGCTTTGAACTGCAATCCTCAGATCTCAGCCTCCTGAGTAGCTAGGATTATAGGCATGAGCCACCCTTGGCCGGCTTCAATCTGTGCTACTCTGGACCTATACATAGTCATTGTATTCCTGATGCAGATGATCCTTTAATAATTTCCTTTTTAGCAGTGTATTACTACTACAGCCTCAAAGGTTTCAGAGACCAGACTGAGTTCTCTGAAACATCAGTGTCCCTTATCCTCAGTTCATTTCATGTTATTGGAAAAATGAAGAGAAAAAGCGAAAATGGGCCTTCTCTGAAAGAATGAGCTCATTCTCTAACAAGCTCACTATGAGCTTTTATAGAACAAGAAAATCCAGCCACCTAAAACTAGAAAGCACATTCCTCTGTTTTTCTTAGTATTAGCCTGCTTTTAGAAAAGCATAATTATCCCCAAGCTAATTCCAGAGTATATCAGAGGTATGCACCTGTCAGGAAAAAATTTCCACTTGTCACAGGAAGTGTCAGCTGGTCAGAGTTGGAATTCCTTAATGAACAAGCTTCTGCCTTGTCATTCCTCTCTGCTCATCCAGTATGTGTTGTTCCCCCCCCCCCCCCCCACTAACAACTGGAACATACCATAAACAGAAAACTGAACTCCACAGTGCCCACTGAGGTAGAATATAATCTTTTGTATACATTTTCAAGCAGTCTTGAAGTGTTACATCACTCAGGAACGATTTGTGTACAAAGATTTCTCAATTTTGCTTCAAGCTAGCCATATTTGTAGTTTGGGGTTTTTGTTTTTGTTTTTTGCCATGCTGAGATCTGAACTCAGAGCTTTGCACTTTGCCTTGAACCCCTGGATATTTACTTACTGGTGGGGCTGGAGCTAGGGAAAACAAGGGTGTCTCATTTATAGAAGCAATTTGTCCTTGAGGGTACTTCTTCAAAGCTAAATCCAAAAATTGTCAAGTGGATTAGGAGAATGAGAAAGTAGAAGTCTGAAATGTAAATGGATTAGTGAGATATTCCGTCTTCCTGCAAAGGATTGTGCTAGAGATCTTAAAAAATGGATTCTAGAGTCTCATTCTGGGAAGCCAGGCATCAGAGGACAGGTGTAGGAGGAGGAAGGATTCCTGCTCCAACAGTCTTAACTCCTCTCAGATCCTAGCGCTCTTTCGAGGAGGGAAACTCTAGTAGATGGGTAGGCTCTTGGAATGCTCTCTTTGGACCCTTCTCTTGGTAGAAAGAGAATGAACCAATAAGGTCTCCTGCCTCTCCGTCCAGCATTCCTCCCACAGGCCTGCTGTGTTTGGCAAGTTAGGTGTCTTCCATTTCAAAGAACTGCCTGGTCCCTTCTCAGCATGTGAGGAAATCTCTGCAGAGCTGTGTGAGAAGTGAGTGGTGAAGGGATAACATCCCTGGTCATTGCTGCAGGGTTTGACTTTGCAAATACAGTTGATTTAGGAAATGCACAATCCTCTTTCATTTAGGGAGACAATGAAAGGAAAGTTTGCTTTATCTATGCTAGGAGTGCTGGTTACTCCTCTCTTTTGCCCTTTATAGTAAAGTTGAGTACTGGAAACCTCCATTGCAGAATTCCCCAAGCCCCACTGACATCTCTCTAACAAGTGATGGTCTCTCCATCATTTGGACACAGAGGGTTGTGTCTAAGATTTGGCTTGGAGTTCTGTGTGCTCTTCAGTTTCCTGCTTTCCATCTGCTTTAAGAATCTTTTAAACAACCTACCCTTTAAGTTCTGCTCATCTGACATTGTGTCTCCAAGTTCTTCATGGCTCTGAACAAGAATGTTCGAGGTGCCCCATTTACTGGTTAGCTCATAGGCTAATGGCACCATTACTCTCTGCCTTTCAGTTTGCTGTTGGATGCTTAATGATGTTCCTTTAACAGCCCAGAACAGCATGCTGTGAATACTGAACTTCAGAAAGCAGCCTTTGTAATTCTTTACCCCTACTTTACCCCAGGGAGACAGGAATTGTATCCCTTTGGCAGGAGAAATCACCCAGCCTATCCAAAGAGGAAAACCCCTTTGTTTTCAAAAAACAAGCACCAGCCTGCATACCTATGCTGTGAGGCAGCCCCAGCTGGGCATGGGGGAGCCTCATAAAAAAAAAGGATGATGGAGCAGCTATTTTCTTCTACACGTGCACCCCCATCTGTTCGAGAATTCCCTTCCAACTCCAGCTTGGCTGGCAGGCATGTCCCTAAGAAGCTGCAGGCCAAAATGGAAGAGAACTGATTCCCTCCTCCACACATCCTGACTTGCTGCCAACTGCCAGAAAAAGAGGGCAACATTTGGGCATTTACCAGAAGACAAGGATGTGCCTTTTCATTTGTCTTTTTATTTTACATTTAAAAAGTGGTTATTGCTCTAACTGGATTAGAGGTAAGGACCTCTCTCTTAAGGAGCCTTGGCCTTGCAGCCCCATTCAGCAGGGATGGAAGTCACAAGACAATGAGTGGAGCCTCATGCCCTCCCATGAGGAAGCCCTTAGTATTGCTGACATCTCTTTCCATCTCTCCTCCCCTTTGCTGCCATACTTGGACAAGGCAGAGTGGTGGCTGACCCAGCCTGAAAGCTCTTATAGACCGGAGGGAAGGGAGCGGTCATAGGGTGATGGCTTTCAGCTCTCTGGCTTGGGGTGCCAGTGCTCTTGTCATTACTGAGTGCCTACTGTGTGCCAGGCTTGGGCTAGGCACATCCTTCTCCCCTCCTTGGCTACCAGTAGAAGATGCAGAATCCACCTCTTCCCATGCAGGCATTTGGCAGCTGTGTGTCAGTCCCAGGGAAGAGTGTCTTTCTTCATCAAGCACCATTTTTTTTTTAAACCAGAAAGGGGCAGTAGAGAAACCTGTCACTTTACACCACTTAGGCTCTCAGGAAGGACATGTGGACCCTGGAGAACTCATAACCCTGGGTGAGATGGCAAGATATGAAAACCCCAAAGGCCAATAGTGACAGCTACAGGCAGGGCCTGCCTTCTAGCAGCTTCTGCTCCCGAGGGTGGCTTAGCAGCCCTTAGTCTACAGATTGTGGATATGCCCTTTCAGTTCAAGTTGGCACTGCTGAGACTCCAAGAGACATTACCTCCCATGTCTTCTTAAGATCCTAGACCGATGATCTTACCATCAAAATAAGGGGTCAAAGAAGACAAGATACAGGCAATAAGCTCAGGCCTTGGGAGAATCCTCTGTGCTCTGCAATGGGGCCCTCTGCCTTATTTTCCAAAAGAGACAAATGGGTAACATCTTACATACTTGCAAAGGTATGTAGCATACTACAAACAAGTCCTTGATGGCTGGATCCAGAAGAGACTTGATGAAGCCATGACCGTAACACAGCAGCCCTTCGGCTCCCCCAGTCCTCCTTGGCCTGAAAGACAGTTTGTTAGTCTTGGTTCTTTCATTTCCCAGAGCAATACATTTTCTCAGAGAAGAAGCCAGTCCAAGAGAAGCAAGGGGGCAGAAGGCCATGTCTCATGCAGCTTTTCCTTTTTGACAATGGGGCCAGGCCTTTTAGTTTTGTGGCTTATTTTTTTGCAGGTTTGAGTTTGTAGATCAGCCTCTTTCATCAGACTATGGGAGAAGAGGGAAAACTGCAGCTTGTGCTTTCCCTGCTGCAGTGGCCTTCTCCCTGTACCCAGTACCTGGAGACCAGCAGAGAAGAAAAACAAAATCCTTCTCTCTGAAGACAGGCAGTCATGCTTCAATGATGTTCACTGATGGCTTGTTTGGAAACTGAGAGGACAAACATGAGAGAAGTGGCCAGAGCTAGTTGAATAGACTTCTTGCAAGGTGAGAAACAGAGGGTAGAAGGAAGAAGGGAACAGCAAGGCTGCATTCTAAAAATCAACCTCTTGTCCCTCATGGAAAGAAAGAGTAGTCCTGTCTAGAGATTTTGTCTCTGCCTTTTCACACCCAGCCTTTGGCCTTGCACAGCTGAATAGCCAAGACTAAGTCCTGGACTCAGAGCCCTGATACCCAGTCTACCCCCAGCAGAGTCGTCCACTGGCTGGTTCTCTCTCCTCCTGCAGATATGAATCTGTGCACAGCCTCAGCCACTGGCATTTCTGAGGTGCTTCTGTAGATGGGGCTAATAACAGGCTTCAGGAAAAGGTGCCAGAAAGAGAAGACAGTAAGCCAGAGAATACAAGAAGATGGAGGAGAGCAGGAGATGCAGAGAAGCCAGATGTTTGTTGGATAATCATCATCAGAGCCATGAGATCCTCTCGCATTCTCTACTTTCTTCTGAGCTGCTCAGAGGAAGCACTGAAAAGGTTTCATATCTGTTTTGCAGAAGGGGAAATGAAAGTACAGAGGTGAACTCCTGCCCGAGACAAACAGCACAGGAGGAGCAGAAATGAGCTGAGCATCCCCTACTCTGGCGGTCCCATCATACCACTATCCCTTGGCACAATGTAAAAGGAGAGGATCCAAAATCAATTTTCAATGTCCCGTGTCACACCAGCAGCAGCCAAGCTTGGCTCTGCCTAGCTGCAATCATGCCAGGCCCTGAGCTGACCCCTTCTGCAGTCCAGGGACTACCAGTGTCCAAGGCACAGAGACACCCAGTAGCCCAAGCCTTGCTCCTCACCTTGCTGCGGAGGAGACCTCCGCCCTGGTGCTCTGGTGTGCTGGTTTCTGATGCACTCTTGGTTTTTTCCTTGTTGTTATTGGGTTCATTGTCCTTGATGATGTCATACTGACGGCAGAAGAGGGCAATGACACCTGGGCAGGACAATGGAAAACAGAGGCCAGGGCCTGAGTTCTTGCCTTGTCTGCTTCATCCCCACCAGAGCTTACTGACAGTCTCTCCAGATAGTCTCTTTCTTCAGGGAAACTGGTCTTGTTTCTATTCCCTCACCAGCCATCCCTTTCACTGATGCTCCCTCAGCACACATGATTGTGTTTCTTCTCCCTTTAAATCTCTGACAGCTTTCCTTTCCTTTAGGGGAAATCAGAAACAATAATAGCATTTGTTGAACATGTGCCAGGTCCTGTGCTGTGTGCTGACACCTTTAAATCCTCACAACCCGGTGGGGATACCTCCTATCATGCTTAGGTTATTAAAAAGAGCACTCGTGAAAGAAAGAGAGAGAGAGTCAAATTAACAACTCAAGGGCACGCCATAATGCAGTTGGGAGGTGTACTGTGGCTGGGAATAAACTCTGGGGCCCATTAAATGTCCACTTTTATCAAGCTAATAATACATGAACATATTTTTAAAAGTCAGTATTAAGGCTGCCAATTCCAGTACTTCTAGATCTGGTCCCCATTTTACCTGCATATTTATAGTATTTCTCGATCTGTTTTAGGTGTCTGTTGAATTCCCACTGTGGTAGATAAAGTCTGAATACTCCCCCTACTTCCCTCTCCATCATCCTAACAGAATTACACCACAATTCAAAGTAATTTGCTATGTTTATTATTGTTATGATTATATAAACATTACCCGTGCCAACTCTAATGTGTTTTTCCTGCTTTTTTTTTTTGTCTTCTGGTGTCTGTTTCTCTACATGCCTAAGGAACATTTTTCCCCCAAACTTTTCAACACTCACTCACTGTGCCAATCAGGCTTTAGAATGGTGTTCAGAACTCTCAAGAGTTTGGTCTACAGTTTCACCACTACATTCTAATACTAAATGTTTTCTCACAGGTCAAAGTGGCCCTGGCAAGATTGAGCTTAATTTGTTTCTTGAACACACTGTAACCCAGAACCCCTTTCCTCTTTTGGCTACCTGGTGAGCTCCTATTCAGCCTTCAAAGCTTAATACCCATGTTAGTTCCACTTTGTGTTTTTTTTAATGCGTTCTAGGTAAACACTCTGCCACTAAATCCAACTCCCAGCCCCTCTGTGTTTTTCTCAATTTCTACTGGATGCAGAATGAATGTCCTCTGCTCTGCTCCATACAGGTGCTCTTATAGCACCTCATCATAGTGAATTAACAGTTAAGTTTGGGCCTAGCTTTCTTCAAGACTGGGTTCCTTGCAAGTGCAGGGCCCTTCTCAGTCATGACAATAACTCTAAGTTTGGGAATGGAGTGGTTAGTAAATGCAGAACAATGAATGACACTTGGACTTTATTCTCAGGGAGCTCAGGGACCAGCAAGAAAAGAGAGCAGTTTTCCTAACTAACTTCTATAAGAAGGGCTCAAGAGGGTGCAGAGTGTGAGCAGAGGCAGTAAGATCACTCTAATGGCTGGGAATGAGGCCTAGTGGTAGAATGCTTGCCTAGCATACATGAAGCCCAGGGTTTGATTCCTTAGTACCACATAAACAGAAAAGGCTGGAAGTGGCACTGTGGCTCAAGTGGTAGAGTGTTAGTCTTGAGCAAAAGAAGCTCAAGGACAGTGCCTAGGACCTGTGTTCAAGCCCCAGGACTAGCAAAAAACAAAAAACGAAGAATGGCTGGAATTTCCATTGGGGTGGACTCAGCTGGATGTGAAGGATGGGGAGGGGAGGGGAATGTCCTAGCCTGAAGCCAGGCAGTGACTTCCTCTGATCTTCCTAGGTCTGGAGCCCCTGGAACCCCAGAACCCCAGAGAAGAAGGAGGTTCAGGGGCTATGGATGTGTCCACCTCAGAAGGTTGAACTTCCGAAAGAGAGGAAATCCAAGGACTCCATATAAACCTACAAGGCAGCTAGTAACATGCTATATTGTGGGTGGAATGGGCTAGATTTGGCCCCCAGAGCTGCTCAGGGACTTCTTTTCTCAGATATCTCCAAGCCCTTGCCCTTGTTTATTATAACAGAGTCTGTTCAGGACTTCAGTTTCCTAAGAATAAGGGAAGCAGGTGTTGAAAGCCTGACTCACCTGCCCACATGAAAAGAACCACAACGATGATCAGCACCTCGCCCGCCCGTAGCTGTTCATTCCTCCCCATCTCCTTCATGGTCACCTCCTCTGTGAGGAAAGACACATACTAGTCCAGGGCTCCTTTAATCCCTGAGCCACTTCCCTAGGACCAAGCCCATGCTAGTAAACACTTACCTGTGCCCACACACCTGGCCTAAAGAGACCCTGGGGTTGGGGGTACGGGGAACAGGGTATACGGATGGTTGCTTAGGATGGTAGCAATTGGACTCAATCCAAAGGTGGATTGCGTACAAGTGTGCTTAGGTTCTAGAGTGAACCTTCTTATGCTCTGTGAGGTCCTCCTACTTCGGGGTACTTTGCTGTACCCATTGCTCTGGCCCAACTGCCCCACCCTGCTCATCCAGCATGCTCCAGGCCTGCCTTTGTTCTTGGAGGCCATTTTCTCAGCCTCTCGTGGGGTCTTGAAGAGCACCGGCTCACTAGCAGGGCTCTGGCCCTGAATGGAGATGGCCTGTACGTGCACAATGTACTCCGTGTCCTCTTCCAGGTCCCAGAGGGCGCACGAGCGTGTGGTGGTGTTCACCTCCTGGATGAAGCGCAGCATCCGTACATCCTTCTTCTGCAGAGGCAAGTGTGGGTCAGGTCCCCTCCCGGCAGGGGCAAGCCCTTCAAATACACAATCATCCCACCACCTCCAGCTAAGAAAACAGGCTCAGAGAGGCTAGGGAGGTTGTATAAGACCACACATCTATAGACAACTACAGCAAAGGCCTAAACATCAGAGCATCCTAAGATCAGATCAGTGCTCTGAATTGCTAATCCCTCCTGACTCAGGCCCTTCTGGGATCCCAGCTTCAAGACAAATTTGCAGCTTTGGCTCCTATCTCTTGCCCTGTGTTCATTTTTCCTTTGTATTCCTCTACTGACCACACACTGACCCCTATTTGATAGGGGTCATCTTAATGCATCTTCCCCTCCCAAGGGCCCTCAAGGTTACCTGCTGAGAGATGGCAAATCCAATGACAACCTCGTCTTCTAGGACATCCCAGCTGACCACTGCAGAGTTAGCCTTGAGGTGCCTGACGGTTACATTCACTGGGGCAGAGGGACTGTCTGCAGGGGCAGGGAGGTACCTGAGCCTCAGTGTCCCTTGCTATGAGGCCCAGCCCCCTACCTCATAAGTGAGAAAGGGAAACGGGGAAAGCCATGGCCTCAAATAGGCCACTTAGCTATCAGTTCCTCAGAGAGACCCCAGTATCTTTGTGCCTGTGTCCGAAGCCTCTGCTGCCCATTGGCTGGCTCCACCCAGGGGTCCGTGTCTAAAACTGATTGGTCAAGTCAGGGCCAGAGCTAATGGACTGGATGGTTAGGTATGGACGTGACCAAAGTTGCAGAAGCTGGTTAGTCTGATGAAAAACAACCAAAAGGACTCCCAGTCCTGTGCTCTTTCTACAGTCCTGCACTGTCAAGTGAGTGACCTTGAGGGAAGGAGACTCAGAAGTGGAGAAGAGCCAAGCAGGAGTGATACTTAGGGTGGGAGTGAGGGGAAACAGAAAAAAAATCCCTGAACTGTGGTGAACTGGGCAGAATGCGGGCTGGGGAGGGGTCTCCATGAGGAGCCTCTTCCCTACACTCTGCCAGCCCCGAGGGGCAGGTGGGGAGGGAGCTAAAGTAGATGGGCACTCAGAGCAAAGCCTCTCATTGGAGAGTCAAGAGGGCAGGACTAAGCTTTCTAGGTGGGAGAAGATGATGAATGGGGGAATCAGAACCATAGGTGGAGAACCATGGGAAAGAGGAATCCGGGCAGGAAGACCCAGGAGAGGTGTGTGAACAAGGCCTCTGTGCCTTCCCCCTGCAGGTGCTGCCTAAGTAGTAATCCAGCACCCTACAGATAGATAGACTTGAGGCCCAGGGGTTAGGCAAGACAGGGAGATGCAAAGGGACAGAAGGACACAGACAGGTGGCGGCAGACACAGCCCCAGAGAACAGACAAGTGGAGGATTCAGACAGAAGCAGGGTGAGAGTGCTGAGCCATGGAGAGATAGATGAGTAGAGAAAGAGAGGAGACAGAGACAGACAGAGACAGAGAGAGAGACAAAGAGGAGAGACAGACAGACAGACAGACAGAGACAGCCAGGGAGGCAGCAATAGACAGAAGGCACAGTCAGGATGTCAGGAGAGACTGGGCCCCATGGGTGAGCCAGACACTGCACCAGGCTGGGGGGTCCATTCCTCGCCCACCCTGTACCCTCAGGTGTCAGTTTCCACCCCCTTCCTAGACGGTCCTGCAAAGCCAGGCAGGGCTGCCTGTGGGACTTTGAGAGGTCTATGGGGGACCGGAAGGAAGGCCCAGGCTGGGAGAACTGGTGTCCTCAGCTGCTCTTTGGATCAGAAATGGGGACAAGGAAGGAATCCGAAGGAAGCACCTGGGGTGAAGGGGTGAGATTACAGGGTGGAGGTCAGAACCCCGGAGCTGAGGGATGGGGCCGAGTCTGGAGGCCGAAGGACAGGTCTAGGGGTCAAGAAGGTACTGAGTCGCTGAGGTCGAGTTGGAGAGGGGGTGGGGGGGCGGCAGTAGGCGGGAGCACGGGAGACAGGAGGCCCCTAGGGGGCAGGAAGGGGACCGAGGACTCCCAGGTGGCGGGGAAGAGGGGCTGTCCCGGCCCTGCCCCCCCCCCCCCGCCCCCGGGCCCCCTTACCCGCCTGCACCAGCGCGAAGCAGACGCAGCCCAGCCACAGGCGGAGCGCGGTGCGGAGTGGCCGGGCGCACGGCGGCCCGGGGTGCATGGCGGCTCCTCCGGCCGGCCGGCCCGGGGCGGCGCAGGGGGACGCGGCTCCGGCGCCCGGCGGCCGCTGGCACTCGAGCTTCGGCCCGCGGCCCGGCCTCCCTGCGCCGCCCCGCGCCGCCTGCATATCGGCTCCGCGGACAGCGACTCCCGCGCGGCGGCGGCGGCGGCGGCGGCGGCGGTGGCGGCGGCGGCCGCGTCCACGTCGGGCGCCCGGGGGGCGGGGCGCCTCCGCTGCGGGGAGATGCGCGGGGGCGGGGTGAGGGGCGGAGGGCGCCCCCACTCCGGCCCCCCATCCCACTTTTTCGAGGCCCGGGCACCGAGAGACTTCGGGGACTGGCGGCTCCTTAACCCCCCCCCCCCCAGGAGCCGGAGCCGCAGCACCCCACCGCGGTCACCCCAGCCCCAATCCCTGCCCTCTGGGGAAGGAGAGGGAGGACACGCGCCCCCGATGCTGCTCCGTGCTCGAGAGCGGCCAGGGGTGCCCACTCCTCACAGGCCCTGCTGCGGAGAGGAGGACTCACAGTCAGCATGGGGGGACCATAGGGTGCCGGGTGCACACAGCAGATGCTCAGTGTGTGCGGTGGACCCAGAAGGGGTCCTCGGACTCCGCAAGCGCACCAGCCCTTTCTCTTGGCGCCTCCATCCTCATCTCCATAATAGATCAATCTGGAGCATCTGCCAGGTTCCACACCCAGGGCTCAAGTCTCACTGCCCGCAGCCCATCAGATTGGCCTGACTGTGCGCCCTTCACGCATAGACTGCCTTGTGCCAGGACCGCTGGCAATCAGGACTTGAACCCTGGTTGCTTTGACTCTCCAAACTGTCAACTGCTGACTCAACCATCTCCCTGCCTAGACTGACCTCACACACCTAAGATCCTTGGGATTCTGCCTGTTTGAGCATCTCCCCACCAGAAAACAATCTGGAACAATCTAGAGCAATCTTCAACAACTGTGGGGTCGGGTGGGTAGGGGCTCAGGCCAAATTTGGGGGAATGGTGATTGAGCTAATGGCTGTAAAGTGCAGAAGAGTGCTTTGAAGATGTGGCTGGCAGCCACGGCTAATGAAAGGGCCTGATGAACCTCCCTTCATTACCCTGGGGACATCTATGTGCCTGTCTGTGTCCATACACACCCCCTTGCCCAACTCACTCCTTTCCTGATCTTAGGAGCAGAGAGAGGGCTTCACCCTGAACCCACAAACCTCTCCCTAATGAGAAGGCCATGGGGACACTAGGCAGCCAGAGAAGTCTCCCACCTCTACCAATGACATTTTCTAACTCAAGTCCCAGTCAGAGAACAAAACAAGGTTGAGGAGAGAGGCAGGACATGGGAGTGGGGGGGGGGGGAGGGGGGAAAGATGCAGGACATCTGTCCCCTGAGACAGGTGGGGCCACCCATCTGTCCAAATCATTGAGGGACATCCCTTTGTCTTAAAGGTTTTCCAGAGGCCCTGAGAGAGCTGGGAAAGGAACATCTTACAGTTAGGGTTTTTGACTTATTTTGTTTGTAGGGATGGGAGTTGAACCCAGGACCTTATGTATACTAGTCAAGCTTGCTACCACTAAGCCCTAGAATCTAGGGGACATACTCAGCATCTAGATTAGTTTTAGATTAAGAAACAGGGGCAAACTGGATGTTGGTGGCTCACACCTGTAATCCTAGCTACTCAGGAGGCTGAGATCTAAGAATCACAGTTCAAAACTAGCCTGAGGATGAAAGTCCGTGGGACTCTGATTAACCTAGAAGTGGAACTGTGTGTGGCTCAAGTGGTAGAGCATTAGCCTTGCAAGGAAAAATAAATGCCCAGGGACAGAGCCCAGGCCCTGAGTTCAAGCTTCAGGGCTAGCCCGTACACACACACACACACACACACACACACACACACACACACACACACACACACACACACGAGACACAGTTGCAAAGTGCCTGGTACAAATTCACAGTAACACAAGAGCAACAGAACTATTCTCTTCTAATGCCTACCCTAGGACTCCTTCCCTGTCCCCCTTCCCAAGTTTCTATCTAGTCCCCTTGGAAAGGGTGAGGTGGAAGGGGCCTCCAGGAAGGGGTTGCAGAAACTTACCACCCTGCCCTCTGTACCCTCAGAGCTAACTTTGCAGCTCCATCTGTTTCCTCAGGCACATACCTTGTCCTAGGGTGAGCCTCAGCTGGGCCTTTGGCCTGCCTGGGGTAGGAGCCGGGAGCCAGAGCACCTTCCCTGTCCTTTTTCTATCTTTCTCTTTTCTCTTGGCAGCTGATGCCGCCCCGCCCTGCCTGTCTGCCTGCCTTCCCCGCCCTACCAGCTGCAGCTTGGCCCCTAGGGACCCCCTGCCCCTCCCTCAACCAGGGGCCTGCAGGAACAACTGGAGTCTCCTCAGATCTCCATCACAGGAGCAGCAGAAAGGAGAGAAGTCAGTTAGAGGTCACAGATCCACTTTTGTCGCTGCTGAGGAGAAAAGGGAGAAGAGAGGGTCTTAAAGGGGGTCTGGCCTCTAGTCCAGCACTGGAGAAAGGGAAACCTTAGCGCCACCTGCTGGTCTTTTTGGGAAAATACCCTAGGCAGATGTAGGGCATTGGGAGGGGGAGACGGCAGCTCTGAGGGTTTGAGGCAGAGAGGAAAGGGGGCTGGAGGAAGGGTTGTGGAGGACAGGGAGGATTGGAGGCATTGTAGCTGTGAGGTGCAGCCTTCCACGGCCTCATGCAGAGCTTAGGCACTACCTCAGTTTGGGGAGAAATCCTGGTAGCTGGAACCTGGCAGCCAGTGGGAGCTGGTTTGGGGACAGGAAGAGCTAGGAGGACCCGTTGGCAATTTAGGTGAGCCTGAGCCGGTGGTGGGTGGCAGGAGCTGGCTGTCAGCAGTACCAGTTACTTTATCCATCCACCTGAACTCCATCCCTTTGCCAGGACCAAACATACAGTAGGTTAAGTGCCACCTGCGTGGAATAAATTATTCTTCCGACATGTATCTAGGGAGAACCTATTTGGTAACAGACTCTGAGCAATATTGTGGGAAAATGAGGAACATAAAAGCAGGGATCTGGATGGAGCCAACGGGTGGGTTTCTGATATACTTGCTAGTCACCTCTCAGAGGATGACATGGACAATCTCCCGAAGAGCTGGATGGTCACTTACACTGGCACCTAGGAATATTTGGATCCTTTTACGTGTCAGGAACTATGCAGAATCTCAGCACCTAGCTCTGACTGCAGGTGCCCAAGTCAGATTCCAAGTAACCATGACAACAGGAAGGTTCCTTATCCTAGAGCCTGGAATGGCCATGGCTTATGTCTAGGGTGCCTCGTAGATACCCCTCAAAGTCAAAGGAAGAACCAGGATGTCAGGAGATTTCTTCAGCTCTTTACTCATGTTACTTGGAACCTTAGGTGGAAATTTGCTATTAACCTGCAGTCTGTCCAGAAGCTGGGGATCAGGTGAGGAGACCTGCGCTGGGTCACACCATCAGTGAATTATGAACGTCTCCACTTCATTTATGCGGCTCCAAGTTCAGAGCTTGATCTGGCATGCCAGTCACCTCTTTTTATCTCTCAAAACCTTTGAAGACAGGGGTCAAAGGCCAGGGGCTCCCTAGAGGACATCTGTCTCTGGAGGGAGTTGAGTGACATTTTCAAAATCCAGAGCTGAGACCACACCAGGTAAGGGACCCATCATTCAGCTACTAACGTTTTCCATACCCTGCACATTCCTTACAGAACAAAACACTTGGGATTCTTACAACTCTGAGAATTTGGGATTTATTATACTCATTTATAGATGTGGAAACTGATGCTCAAAGAAAGGAACTGGCTGGGCGCTGGTGGCTCATGCCTGTAATTCTAACTATTCAGGAGGCTGAGATCTGAGGATCACAGTTCAAAGCCAGCCAGGCAGGAAAGACCATGAGACTCTTATTTCCAATAAACCACCAGAAAACTGGAAGTGGCGCTGTAGTTCAAGTGGCAGAGCGCTAGCCTTGAGCTGAAGAGCTGAGGGACAGCGCTCAGGTCCAGGGTTCAAGCCCCACGACCGACAAAAAAAAAAAAAGAAAGAAAGAAAAAGAAAAAAGAAAAAAAAAAGAAAGGAACTGGCTTTTCATGGGCCATATAGCTGGGAGACACTGGTCAGGCCTAATTTGAGAAAATCACCATCACCATAATGAGGAAACCTCCATGTTTCTTGGGCCTGTGCCAGACTGGCTGGGTGTTGAGGATGCAGCGAAGAACCAACCTGGTGCCTAGCCCTGAGAAGCCACCCTAGTGGGAGAAGAGGAGAGAGATGTTTCTAGAACACAGAGCTGGGACTACATTCTAGAACAGGAGGCAGGGAGGGTGGATGCTGGAGAGAAGATTGACTTGAGAGGAAACAAGGAGGGCTTCTTGAAGGAGACAATGCTTGCACCTAATAAATACCATACTCAGGAGGGAATTGGCTAAAGGAGAGAAAAGAGGCCAAGGGAAAAGAAGCCATTGGCCCTGTGCCTGGGAGAGCAGGGTAATGTGGAGAAATGCAGGGAAGACAGTGTCTAAGTTGGATGACAGCAAGGTATTAGGCTCTACACTGGAGCACTGGGAAACAAAGACTAGATTTAAAAGACTGTTCTGAGTTTGCAAAAGAACATGGGGCTAGTATTACTGGAAAGGCATGCAGCTGAACTTTAACATATTATCGAAAATGTATGCTGTTTAGCCTTGATTCTTTTTCCTTGCTAAAGAAGAATTCAAACAAGACAGGAAGCATAATGGAAATGACAAAGAAGTTTATTAAAGAGAAAGAGAGATTAAAGTTTATTTTAAAAAAAAAGCAGTGGACTCCAGCTAGGCTCCAGAGCCCCAGGCTTTGTTTAGCTGGGATTTTTGAACAATTCCAGGTTAAGTGTCAGCTGTCCTTCATTTGGCGGGAACTATAAGGGACAGGTTGATTGACAGGTGTAGCTTATGTAACAACTGTGCATCTGCGCATGCCCAGATTTGTTGGGCCTGTGTGCAGACTCCCTATAGGGAAGAAATA